GTATACATTCTGTTGCACTGAACCCTTAATAGATGGGGGTGGGTGGGTTAGGGAAATCTGATTCAAGTAGCGCTATTCCAACTCAGGCTAAATCAAAATCTGAACTCTCCTTTATAGCTTCATTGTACTTTGAAATGTGGAGTGACAAGCAATACATATCGAAATTCTACATAAGAGAAAACTCCTCCAGGGTTTGGAAAGGAGGAGAAAAGGAGAGATTATAGTTTGTGATGGATTGTTGTAGCTTCAAACCAAGAACTCTGACACAGAGCTTTGCTGAAATGCTTTTTGAAACTATCTCTAACTGTCAAGTGGCCAATGCTCTTAGTTTAGAGCCATAGTAGCACAGTGCTTAGAATGCAGCATTGCACTTGCAGGCTATTTCTGCTGACTGCCAGCTGCCAGCAGTTCGAGTCTCACCGGTACAAGGTTGACTCAGCCTTCCACGCTTCCGAGATTGGTAAAATGGGATCCCAGATTGTTGGAGGCAATATGCTGACTCTGTAAACCGCTTAGAGGGGGCTGTAAAGCACTGTGAAGCAGTATATAAATCTTAAGTGCTAAATGCTATTTATCTCTTAATCTCAGGAACATTAAAATGAGTAGCCACGGGATTTGGAGGTAATTGCACATATTGTGGAGTTTGGGGCTATTGTTTTTCTGAGTTACACTGCTCTGCTTTATATCATTTACATATTGATTAGGAACATTTGCTTGAGAGAGGGAAGGCAGAGTGGGAGAAATGGGAAGCAAATAACTCTCCACTTCCAATTTGTCAAGATTTCCCTTCTATTTTTTAAAAAAGCCACCTGCTTCTAAAATTCTGCAGCTTTCTTACCTTCATTCTGCATGTTATGCTCCAACAATTGTACACACAAAGCAGAAGATTCTCAGGGAAAAGGAATGGTGTACCTTTGCACCTTTAAAGATATCTAGCAACTCCTTCTTGGAGTCCTAAAAATGTTATCCCAAAATGTTAGCAAAATTGTTACAGCTATTTGGTGATTTTAAGTTAGAGATCTAAAAATTTGAATTTCTAATTGGGGGCGGGGGAAAGGAACAGAAGGATAAAATAGCAAGGTTTACTTAACATGAAAACAGTTGTATGGAAATATGAGGAATTGATATAGAAGATTGTCACCCTCTTTCAAAAGTTCTTTGAATTATTCTGCATTTTCTGTTTTGCTTAGATGCAGGGGTTTTGAAGGGTTAGGGTTAGGGTAAAAATCCTGCAAAGGTTGTAAATTGTAAAAATCCTGCAAGGGTTATTACTATATTGTAAGGCTGTTATGATTACAAACCACACTGATTAAATAGTTTCTTCAAGCGTACAGGATAGAGACAGCAAACTGCACTGGCATTTGTATTACCAGAAAAACACACACATACACACACACACACCTGCCCTCAAGAGCGAGAGAAATGTTTCTTTGTTTATTAAATTTGTGTGCCACCCATCTGGTCCAGAGATGACTCTGAATGGCTTGCTGTTTCTAATGAGAGGCTGGTTGAAAAACAACTAATTGTCCATTTTTTCTCTCAGCCCCATTCTCCAGAAGAGCAGCTTGAACAGATCTTGGGTCACTTCTCTGCATCACCAGAATCTGGTATGGAAACCACAACTGTTACTGGTTCTCTTCAGACTGTCCCCATTCCTAAGCCAAGGACAATGCATCCTGGCAAAATTGTCAAGAGGAGCAGCAGCAGCAGCAGCAGCAATGAAAGGCAACCAACTCCCTTGTCTCTTTTAGAGGAAAGTTCTCATATTCCTTCTCTGAACTTGACTCAGGCTCCAAGAGTTCCCCCAAGGAGAAAGAAGTCTGCTCCTCCCGATTTTCATCTGCAAGTACTCCAGAACAGCAATAACCTGCTTCTAAAAGGGCTGACATTCAATTCCAACAATAACAACGTTCCAGCACCATGTTTTTCCACAATGAAGGATTCTGGTGCACTTCCATCTTCTCTGAGTGAACCCTCTCGTCTTGCTACAACAGTCGTGATCAGCTCAAAAGACAATGATGCTAAGCTCTTGAGGCAGACTGGTTTAGAATTAATTGGTGACCAACAGGCAACTCCTCCCTTGCGGATTCAGCAACAACAGCAAGTTTCAGACAATCATTGTCCAATGGAGAACAGCAATTTGTTAGACTTGGAAGTAGATTTTGCTGCTTGCCAGCCAGCGATTCAGCCGTTACCAGCCAATCCACCTCCTGCTACACAAAATTTGAAACACTCCTGTCCAAAGGATTTCAGCCACTGGGTCACATTTGGAGAAGATGGCAACAGTAGTACTATATCTCAGGGTTAAACTCTGACCTCAGTTTAAAACTACAAACTCATTTTTGTACTTTTTCCCTAGAAAAGCACATTTTTTCCCTAAACTTTATGATAGAAGGAATGAAGTTCAGTAAATCAGTTATGGCAGTGGGCCCCAACCTTTGGGCTTGGCAGCCCAGCGGGAGTAGCAAGTAGCAGCCTGCTGTGCACACTCGCGCCAGCCCACCACTTATGCAAGTGGCGCTGCGCACATGCAAGCACGCTGGCGTGCCACGCACTAGTAGAGCTGTGCGTGCGTATGTGCCAGGCCACCTTTCATGCGGCCCAGTTCCAAATAGGCTACAGGCCGGTAGTGGGCCGCAGCCCAGGGTTGGGGACCCCTGATGTATGGTATAGCACTCATCTTTCCGCACTCCTTGGTGATTTCTGGTTCAAGTTTAATAGTAAATTCAATAACAAGTATTTATCATATGCATGTGTGCTATAACGAGGCCCGCTTCAATTATTCTTTACTTGCACTTTGCTCATATCTGAATTCCATGCCACAGGTGGCTGCTTGCCCCGTAGTTCTCAACTGTAAAAAGATGGTATAGTTAATTCTGCTTTATATACTAAGAGGTACTCTGTGCCATTCTTGAGCCAACTGCATGCTTAGAACCCCGGTTCAGTGTCTTAAATTATTTTTATCCTTGTTATCAATGTATGCAAAGTAGGAATGAATTTGAGTTTCAAAAAGGCCCATTGGTAAGAGCAAAAATGATAATCTGATTCTGTATAGCAATAGCTGTCATCAGTAATATAGAGTGAAGTCCAAGGTGGTTTTAGAAGTGGCATGGTAAGCTTTGGGCTGGTAGTATCCATAATAGCCATTCAAGTTCAAGCTGTGATAGAAAACCACCTTCAGGATATTAGAAACATGCCTGTATGAAGACATGGAAATGTGTACTTGAAACAATGTGGTTATAGATCCAGCCTGTTTTGAATGGGAGCCTGAAGGGGTGAAGACAAGTGAGAGATTCCTCTACGATCACCTCATAGGATAAACCATTGTTAATTTTCTATTATATACATAGATACGATTCTGTCTGGATTAATATGAATAAAAGTGTATTACCTATGGAAGAAAATACCCATATATGATATAGGTAGGAAATACACAGGTACATATACGAGAGGCTTCTATTCTCATTTTTAGTATTTAAATCTCAAGTATTCTTAGGCTAATAAAATGTCCGGTGGATTATTGGGGAAAAAACACTAATTAGTATAGGCCGGGCTAATATTTTTGTGCACAATCATTTTACATCGTAAAAGATAACAGTGATTTAGCTTTACAGTTTAGGCCAGAAATTAAAATCTAGGATCTAATTTGTAATTTAATAAAGAATTATGTTGCTTTAGAAGAAGCAGCGAAGTTAATGATTTTTATTTTGGGGATGCAACATGTATTTTGGCCTTTTTTTATTCTCTTAATACTAAAAATGTGGTTTATGAGAAATTAGTCTTGGCCTATTCCTATATAGGTATATACACTATGCAAGGCTAAAGGTTAATTAGCTAACATATTGCTATTGTTTTTATTAAATGAACCTTAAGAAAATATAGTTGGGGGTGCCAAATCAGGTAGGTTATTGTGGTCTCCATTCCCCTGCCTCTAGGCCAACCATTACACTGCTGTAAGCAATATTTCAAAAATTGAATGAAATAATGAAAAGGAGAATATGTAGCAGTGACATTTGCTTACTGGAAGACATAATTTTGTACTCTCTAGATGGGTTGCCTGTAACTCCCATGATCCCCCTCTAAGAAGGTTGTTGCCCTTGGCGTAGGACAGCTGGTTAGGGAAGATTGCTCTAACCCTCCCCTTTAATAAGGAAACCAGAAGCATCACTGGTTATTTATGGCTGCATCTCAAGATGAAAAATGAACACCTATTAAAAGGAAGCCTAGTGTACTGTTACTGACGATATTCTCTGCAACATAGATAATTTATCAGCTTTGAGGCAGGTCATTTACATGCTAATAAAAGCATTAGAAAGCAAGTCAATTGAAGTGACTTTATAAATTGCAAATGAAAGTAATTTTTATTACTCTACTTGAAGTGGTATCCGCTGTTGGCACTATATTGTATAACTTGCTGCCTAGTGAGATGCCTCATTAAAACTTGAATCTTTCTAGTAACATACTCTGCCATCAATTGCAATTTATGCCACTCGCCCTGAGCAAAAATGGAACAGGGCAAATGTTGCAATAAATAAAAGTTGTCCTGAGCAGTTTTTAAAAACATTTCTTCTACTGAGTAAAATATAACCTCTGAAAATGTTTAATAAAAAAATACTGTTTAAATATATAGAAAGTCACAGGCAATTTCAGGAAAGCAAAGCTGAATTTCAGTTACTTCATTCAAGACCAAATCATAGTCCATTCAACACCAGTAGCTTCATGATGCTATTGAGTCATGTATCCATTTAGATACAACAGTATTCATAGATTTGACATCATGAGTAATTCACATTGTTTACTTCATTATGTATAAATTGCCTAGTGATAGATAACTTGTTAGAAAGTTTTTATTCTGGAAGAATAATTTATGGTGGGTTTTTTTCTAAATGTGTAATGTTATAACTGTAGGTAGCAATGTAATGATCAAGTATTTTTTCATGTTTACGACATGCCCTTTTTTAATCAGCTGCAGTAGTAAAAAAAAATCAAGAGTTGCCTGAAAAAGTATACACAAAATACTATTTAGTACACACAAAAAATATTACAGTAGGTAAATTACATGCTGTTTGGGGTGGCAATGGGAATATATACTTCAGATGGCTCTGAAAGTTACAAAATGTTTTTGACACAAGGAAATGCAACCAATTGATATGGCTAACCATTTCCCCTTTGTCTACAAAAGGAATCTGCTTTGCTACAAATATAGTGGCTTAATTTATCATTCTAAATCATAGACAAGGTGTACCAAGGTTTTCTATATAACTCCATGCCATGGTTTGAAACATCTGACAATATCAGTGGTGGCTTCCAACTCACAATTATGGCAGATGTTTTACCACTGGAATGTTAAGCAAATGGAATATAAAAACAGGACAATCTTCAGGAAGATTTTTTTTTCATTTACATGAAAAATAAAGCCATGGTTTGGCTTCATGCTGAAACTGAACAACTGCTTTATACATTATATTACTTAAGATTCAAAATACTTAAATGGCACCAGCCAAAGGGAAGAATTTCTACCCTCCTGGAGTGTTTCGCATTTTCAATATAGCAATATATATTTGGCAGGCTATTCAGATTACATTGAGACTGAATTTTTATCTTCTGAGTTTTACAAAAATTTAAGTGGTAAAGACATAATTGTGATTTATCTCGAGTGTGCCCTTGACTAATCCAGCCTTCTATGCAGAATTGAGCAACAATTCTGAATTTTTGTTACTTCATGAGGCATTTTGGTATAAGATGACCACAGGAAAATCTGTCGTCATGGAATTAAGAAACTGGTTCAGTTCTTTGGAGTAAATAATTCTGGGCTTGTAACAGCTTTCCAAACACTGTACAATAGCAGATTTACAGTATACCCTTGTTTTCTGTTGGCATCCAGTTGCAAAAACACAGGTTAGGGTCCAGATTCATTGGTCATTACACATATTTTCTACTGTATTTAAAATATCAGAATGTCCATAAAGAACTTGATATCATGCAATGTGGGTGTATCAGTACATCAGCATGGGAGAGTAGATTTATGGTATTAGTGCATTTGCTCTCCAGTATGCACAGTATATACAAGGTCAAGTGCCCCCACCCACTAGTAGTATAAAGTAGTATAAGATAATCATTAATGGCATAGCAGCTTTGTTTCTACAGTATATTGAGCAGAGAATGAAGATCTCTTTGGGTAAAACACATGCTTACAAAACAATGAAAAGACCTTCTAGGAGCCCAGATAACTTTCCTTGTCAAACATTAAATGGAACTCAAAATGAAGAAAAACGCTTTGTACAATATACAACCCCAGAAATACACCCGCGGTTTCCCATTAGACAATGTTAAAAAAAAAAAAAAAAAAAACAGCTTGTGTGTAATAAAACAGCCGCCCTGCCAAGGACAGGCCCAGATTCAAAGAAAAGTTAGTGTAACTGCTCCAGTAAAACAATAAATATGCACAGCGTTGCAGTTCAGTGATTTCCAAGCTCCCTTTTTAGAGAATCTTGAATAAACTTTAAGGTTTGTTGATACAGGAAAGCTTCTTTGTTTTTCGGTTTGCAAATGTTGAGGTGGCTAACTTCTACCTGAATGAGTTCTCCAATGCCCAAATCTGAAACAGACATGAAAGCAAAGAGCATTAAGACACACTTCTCCCTTGCGCTGCTATAGAATCCATTGAATGGGTTGTCCTCATGTCATTGGCCAAAGACTGAGTTAAGATTTGCATAAACACGCCTCCCCTTCAGGCTTTTCTCCAATTCATTAACTCCTGCTTTCGAGGGTCTCTAAGCAAGATGGTAGCCTATCTGTCTGATCTGTCTCCAAATCAGAATCGATAACAATTAAAAGATGATGTTTGAACCAAATTCTAGACTGGTGTATAAAACAAGATTGGAGTAGACCTGAAAATTTATTTCCGCTGCAGTAATGCATAAGCTGTTTCACAGGATGTTGTACATAATTTATGTCTTAGCTGTTTGGGGAATTATGTGCACTGGTTTGAAATAACTTTTTACGTCCTTTCTACACAATGCATATTAAAAGAAAAACTGCGCCTCATTTTCAGGCCAAACATACTATTACACATCAAAATACAGGTAATCCTCAACTTACAACCGTTCATTTAATGACCATTCAAAGTTACAACAGCACTGAAAAAAGTGAATTATGGCAGTTTTTCACACTTATGACCGTTGCAGTATCCCCATGGTTACGTGCCTCATGACAGCTGCAGGCTGATGTGGTCACCTCTTGTGACATTCCAATAAGCAAAGCCAATGGGGAAGCCAGATTCACTTAATAACCAGCCCAATTTAACAACTGCAGTGATCCATTTAAAAGCTGTGGCAAGAAAGCTTGTAAAATGATGTGAAACTCAGTTAACAACTGTTTTGCTGAGCAGCAGAAATTTTTGGACTTAATTGTGACCTTAAGTCGAGGACTACCTGTATAATATAAAATAAAATGATATAATATAAAAATTCCCACAACATAGAAAAGCCAGAAGCAATAACTTCAAATGGAAGGTGAATCCAACCCTCCTATTCCCAATTGTTTCTAAAGAACTACATTTTCTTTGACAATACAGAAACTGTCCTAGTGAAAATGTTCAAATTAATGTGTCATTACTTAAAATGTAGGTAATGGACATATAAAGAAAAAAGGTGAGATAGCAAGTTCCCATGGGACCTGAGGTGTAATGATGGTGGATCCAGTGTTCCTCAACTGGAAGACAATAATTAATTTCTTTGATTTTTTTTTTTTTACTTTTCCCATTAACTCCACAGCTATCCAGGAGCCTGGATAGCTCTGCAGACTAAAAGCACTGTAATTTAACACCAGCTGTCTGCAATTAAAGTAAGTTCGAATCTTGCCAGGCTCAAGGCTGACTCAGCCTTCCATCCTTTCTAAGGTAGGTAAATTGAGGACCCAGTTTGTGGGGACAATAAGTTGACTTTGTATAAAATATACAAAAGTATGAAGGCTATTGCTTAACACACTGTAAGCCACCCTGAGTCTCCGGAGAAGGGCGGCATATAAATCAAATTTTTAAAAAAACTCATTTACTTTTCATTAAGATGTCTAATTTGGCCTTCCTTTAAGACGTGTGGACTTCAGCTCCCAGAATCCTGCAGCCATCTGGCTGCAGAATTCTGGGAGTTGAAGTCCACACATCTTAAAGTTGCTGAGGTAAAGAAATACTGTTATAAATGACTGAAGCCAGACATTTTGGAAGGGGAATGCTGGGATTGTCAAACCTGCAGATTCCACTGGCACGACATGCAGACTCAACATTCTGCCAACTCGTGTTGGCAACGTTTCTGCAAAGCTTAACACTGGAAAGTTCTGGTTCTTGGCAAATGAGATGAAGTCATCATTCAGTGCTTTCAGGGCAGGGGAATCTGGAAAAACGCATAAAAATGAAATGTGGATTTCTTATTTTAGACATTGGGTGTCAGGCAGAGAACTACATTTACGTATAATATTTTTCATATGGCAGATGGATTTTTGGTTCAGAAAGGTGGCATCTGCTGTCATTTTAAAGGATGAGTGCCAGTCCGGTATATATACAAGCAAGGCTAGATGTAATCACGGCCTCTATTTGTTCTGGTGAAGTACATGTAGCCCTCAACTTAAACCATTCATTTAGTGACCATTCAAAGTGACTTACAACCAGTCCTTGCACTTACAACTGTTGCAGCATCCTCAGAGTCACATGATCAAAATGTGGACACTTGGCAACTGGCTTGTATTTAAAATGGTTGCAGCATCCCAAGGTCATGTGGCTGCCATTTGCAATCTTCCCAGCTGGCTTTTGACAAACAAAATCAATCCGGGAAGCCTGATTCACTAATGATTGCATGATTCACTTAACAACTGCCGTACTTTTTTTTTAACAGCAGCAGCAAAAAGGTTGTAAAATGGTGCATGACTCACTTAACAACCCCCTCACTTAGCAAGGAAAATTCTAGTCCCAATGGTTGGAAGCATTCAGTAGCTTCCTACTGAAAATAAACAAAATAGCCCACCTACAATAGATCTATCTATGTCAAAGTCTAAGTTATTCCTCTATCCAGGAATGCAAGGGAAGAGAAGTAGACTATGGCGCTCAAGGACAGAACTTCCTGTACACAATAAATTGGGGTAGGTGGGCGGGTGACACAGAACCACAGCTGCTCAGTTTAAATGTAATAAATAAGTAACAGGTAAGGTGTTATGAAATTACACTTCAGCTAAATTTGAATTGAGGATACGTCTGAAGTTAACTAGAATTCCCTTTTGTGTTCCTATTTAATATCTGTTTCACACAGTTCCTGATGTGGTCTGGGAGTAAATATTGGGGTTACCTCAAATCTGAACTGGCAGGTCCTGAAAGTGATGCCATGAGGCCTTTATACTGGCTTCTTGTATTTACATGAAACATAGCTTTGGAGTCTAGTGGAATTAGAACATGGATGTCATCCAACTCTACCTCCCTCTTTCTCTAGGAATACTGCAGAGGTTCTGAATGGTGGCTGGCGGTAACAGTGACCTATGGGTAGAGGTTAAGTTTAATTGAGACAACTAAAGTGCTTCTGACTCTTGAATTAAAATTCAAGCAGTGCTGGATAGAATTGAAATTGTCTTGAAAATGTCTGAATTTGGAGTCTTCTGGGGTCTTAATTTCTAACTAGTTCCACATAAACTGGCATTCATGCATTCACCCCTGCCTTTCTTACAAGTCTAACCATGTGAAACATGCTTCATATTACAGAATTGGCTGTTACATCACATCCAGTGGTGGGTTTTAAATTTTTTTACTACTGGTTCTGTGGGCGTGGCTTCAGTGGTGGGTTCCAACCGGTGTTACTACCGGTTCTCTTCGCACACATGCTTTGCGTGCGATCGCCACACGTGCGCTCACTTTGGTCGCACGAGTGCCAAACTTGCACCCCGCGCAAGCGCATTGGGTTTCTGGCCAGCTGAGGTGTGGCAATCCACTCTGCCACGCCTATCAGCTGGGCTAAAAACCAAGAGATAAAGGTAGAACTAAAGCGGGGGTGGGCAGGAGGGCCCAGCTCCCAGTCACACAGAACCGGTTCAGTGACGTCACATCATCACCGCTACTGGCTCGGCCGAACCGGAACTGGGAGCAACCCACCACTGTGTGGCTTGGTGGGCATGGCATGGCTTGGTGGGCGTAGCAGGGAAGGATACTGCAAAATCTCTATTCCCACTCCAATCCAGGGGAAGGTTACAGAAAAATCCCCATTTCCTCCTGATCTGCTGGGACTTGGGAGGCAGAGAATAGATGGAGGTGGGGCCAGTCAGAATTTTTAGTCTCCGAACTACTCAAAATTTCCGCTACCGGTTCTCCAGAACTGGTCAGAACCTGCTGAAACCCATCTCTGATCACATCTATGTTACTAGACTTTGGGCACTGTCATCATGCAACCCCTTTACTGGGATAGTTGAACCAGCTTCACGTTTATTTTGAGTGAAGGGTATCAGAAAGAACATTTTCTTCTGTGTAAATCTGCCATCACCAAGACTTTTGACAGGGAGGTCATGCTATGATTCATTGTCACAGAAGACTACCTAGGTAGGGTCAAGATCAAAGGGTTTTCATTTCTCACTGGAGCTCCTTCTCCTCACTTGTTGATACAAATCTGTCCAGATCGCCTTAATAAAGTTCAAAGAATTTATTCTACTGATAAAGATGCTGGACTGAAAACAGGGAAAGTTGAGCTCTGTCCTGGCTTAGGCACAAAAGCCAGCTTGGTGACCTTAAGTTCATTCCTTCTCAGCCCCAGGAAGAAGGCAATGGCAAACCACTTCCAAAAATATTGCCAAGAAAACTGCATTTCCATTAAGCTCCATCAAAGAAATAAATAAAAATGAACCTCAGTGTTACTTTGATTAGTGTAAATAATTTGGTTTTATTGTTAATATTTATACACACACACACACACACACACACACACACAGCGAGAGAGCTATAGAAAAGAAAGCTATGTTTAAATATACACTTTCCAGAACTACCCACAAAGAAACAAACCTTTGCTGAGCTCTTTGACTTCCACAGAAGGGAAGAGCAGAAATCGAATATTTACGGAATATTCAGCTAACCGGGAGCCATGGTGAGGAACACTGTAAAATACAATTCCCCGTGTGCTGTCCACTATAGAAGCCATTTCAGGGTCCATGGAAGCATCCAGCAGCATTTTCTTGACTAAGAGGCCTGAAAAGAAAAGCCTCCATGAAATGGGATCAATGCAGGGCTGTGATGCTTATTACAGAGATACAAGACAGAAAAATCACTCTCCCACAACTCATTGAAGACGTTCTGGCTTGCTTTCTTTACAGAAAAGGAGGGTCAGTCAATCTTTCCTCCTCTGGAAAAGGAAGGCCTCTTTCTACAAGCCCCAGACCACCTCTACTAAGTGCAAGAGACACCAAGTTGGCCATTAGCCCAGTCTGGTTATATGCAGACGGTACAGTTATTTAGAAGCCTTATATGGCTGCCCATCTTAAGGAACTCTGGGTGGCTCACAGCAACTATAAAGCTAATAAATAAAATAATCATAAAATCAATAAAAACAATAAAACAAAAACCCACAGCAGGTTCAGCTATCCTTCTTTCATGCCTCCTATTATACAATCCGAGCATCTCAGTAAAATGGAAGATCCTTGAAGGAGATGGGCAGTGTAGAAAGGTGACTAATAAACAGACAGACAGACAGACAGGCCTTAACAAATAAATAAACCAAGTCTTAACAGCCTTCTGAAAGGCTAGAAGGGTGGACGTCCTGTGGAAAAACACCAGCAGGAAGGGTATTCCACAGGGTAGGGGCAGCCATGGCAAAGGCATGCTTCTGAGGTCCCACGAGATGGCAAGATTTCAGGGAGGGGACATGGAGTGTGCGCACCCTATATGATTTAGTGGAATAGGTGGATAGTTTTAAGGAGAGGTGGTCCTGCAAATAACCAGATCCTGTGCCATGCAAAGTTGACATAACATAGGATCTTTGGCACATGACATATAATGTATATCTTAAGGGAAGATGGACTATGTGTACAATTGTGTGTACAATTGTGACAGCTTCTATATATCCCTTCCTGTAAACTGCTGAATGCCAGGAACTAGGATCTTAATATTTTAGGATAACTAAAGTTGAATGCGCTGTATATAATCTTCTAAAGTGCAACAGTCAAAGAGTCCAATTCCTTGTAGAGGGTTTTGAAGGCCATAGAATAAAATCTGGCTCCCCAGATGAGCCCCAGTAAGATGAAATGGGTCACACTGTGCCTCCTGGTAGACAACGTAAAAGCAGTCACATTAAAAAATAATATAACTTTCTTTTCCAAATCCTTTCTGAATCTCTCTGCTTGGCTTTCAGACAAACAGCCATGAAAGTGCAGAAACAGACTGAGGGGATGGAGGAACTTTAAGTCACATCTAGAAAGCCCATTGGCACTGTGGAGTTAATATGACATTTTTAGATAGAACCATTCCAAGTCAGTGCATGTGAAATCTTAGCTTTTCCATTCATTTTTAAGAGGTGGTGGGTTATAGGAAGAACAAGGGTTTGCTGGAGGGTGATCTCATGTTTTGACAGATATATGGTGGATTGCCTCCTGTGCCAGAGGAAAGAGCCAAGGCCCAGAAATTGAAATGTCAATACTCAGAAAACTACAAACAAATACACTGAAAGAACTACAGGGAAAAAGCCACTGCTAAAAGTTGCCTCAGTTTCCAATGGAATGGATGTGGGAACAAGCAGAGTGTCAGCACTAGAGTAAATGCAGGTTGAAGTGATTATTTGAGACGACATCGAAACCTGACACAGAGGTTGTAGAGAGATAACCGAATTACTATTTATTCATTGGTTCATTAAATGGTCAAGGTAGGCTTAGTTTCTAGATATTGTTTCCTGGTAAACACGGTACTTTAAGGACACATACATTTAATTCATCGATGCTTTCATTATGCCCCCAGCCCCCCAATATTTCAGCAGACACTTTGGAAACTATAAAAAAGGGCTTAGAGGAGATGAGTATTCAAAGAGATGCTTACCATCCTGTCATGCTTGCAAAGGAAATCTACCAACAGGGTGTATTGGAACACATGAAGGGTCTAGGTTGTGTAAGCAGTGCAGTTAGGAAATAAAAGAGTGCCAAAAATTAAAGGAAGTTGGGCTCATTAAAGTTTGAATACAAACATGCTAAAGAGGCAGATAGCAACACTCCATAGTATCAGTGGGGAAGGAGGTCGGTAACTAGTCATTCACATGAGGTTTTTAAGACTTTTTTCTGACAAGAGTGGTATCTAGGTATAAAAATCAGAATTTTCAGTAGAGAGCTACTGGAAATCCACAAACAGCACATTGAACATTTACTAGCGACTGAAAACACACCACATCTAAACACACATCCCATGCACTACTATTATCGTAAATCCACGTGGAGATTGCTTTCTATGTGGCTCAAATGAATCCTATGAACATTGCCTTCGAATGGAAGCAATGTACTATATTTACAGGGCTAACAAGCTTGAAATAGTTCGTTTTAAAATTGATACAGAAGACAATGAATTTACCGCCCATGCTATGCGATAGCCATATGAGAGGCCTGTCTCCAATCCCAGCATCTCTTAGTTTCTTGAGAAGCTCAGTACTTCGATATGCAAGAGATTCTCTGCAGATGAGACAGCAAAGAAAGCAAGAGAGGCAAATATAGCAAGGCAGCATATTCTGAAGAATCAGATTATTTTTTGGCAGCTTTACTTAAATTTCCTTAAGGAGGTTATCTTTTTCCCCATAGCATCCAACTGTGTGAAAATGTTGGCATGTGTTAGGGTAGCAGTTCTGAAACTTTTCTTATAAGTAGATCAATATCCCATATTACTGAAAGCTTTAGAACAGTGTCTCCCACCCAATCTTGGCAACTTTAAGACTGTGTTCTTCAAGTTCTAAAGCATTTAGCAATGGCCAGGCTATCTGGGAATTCTGGGAGCTGAAGTCGACAAATCTTAAACTTACCAAGAGTAGAAGAACACCACAAAAAACAGGTGTCAACAACTCAGTACCTATTGGCACTATAAAATACTTGACCTTCCAAACAGATCTCATGAGACTCTAATTTAATTAAAAACATGAACAATTACTATGGAATCACTAAATCTCCTCAGGTTTAAGCAAGATTAGCGAGATTTCGGGTGGGAATGCCAAGATCTGATGCAAGAATATAAAAAAAACTTATTTTTTTAATGCAAATTCCATGATCTTGCAGATTCTGGCTGTACAAAATGTTTTCTTTAAGTCAAATCTTGCTTAAAACAACGGTTAGCATCCATATAATCAGATCAATATGCCGTATTTCACATGATGTGTATATATGGTTATCTTAGAACATGTTTTCTGGTATGCACTAGGGATTCTGATTGATATGTAAAACACAATATTTAAAAGCCATGTCACAAACATGGAAATTAATGCATTACTTAATACTTTAAATAAGTATTCAAAGTACTTATTTAACATCCCTGTTATTAAATGGCTATTTTACATCCCTTTAGATTAATATGAATATCAAAGAATCTCTATTCCAAATACTGGATTAAGTCAGCAGCTATAGTAGTATCCAAGTCAAATCTCCTTTTGGGGGAATTGAAGGAGCAATTTTGGCAGCACATGATCACATTAACTGGGACAAAAAAAATCACTGTTTTGGGAATATCAAGTCTCCCTACATATTCTTCAGGAAGCAACCACTATCTATATATGTGACTGCACTAGGAGTATATTGAAAAGGGTTTGACAAGATTATAGCAATTCTGCCAAAATTTATTCAATTTCGTTAAACAAAGTTAAATTTTGTTAAAGAAATCATGGATTAATGCAATGAATAAATCCACCTACATATTTTAAGACTGATCTTGATCAATCCTGGCAGGGCTCTTTTAGAGTTTACACAATAGGATCAATCTGTTATCTTAATCAAATGCAGATATCAATTTAGACTGCTCATGACACAATAAACTTATATAACATTAGTATTAAATATTAATATTATAATGTTAACATACAAGCATTATATTCACATCTAAAATGTACAAGATTATGTGTACAAAAACATAACACAGTTTCAGGTTTCTACTCCCCCTATTCCTTACCTGTAGCTCTCTACGGGACATTTGGTTCTCCAGTCACTAAGGTGGGTATCATATTCCACAGAAATAATTCTAAGTGATGGGCAGTCAGATGCTAACCAAGTCTAAATTTAGAATACATGAAAACAAGACAGAAAACAATTGTGTTCAGATAAGTGTTTAGGCTTCAGGTATTGCAATGAAGACCAGCAACAAATTTTCAAGCAAGCCGAGTGAATCAGGGGAGTAAATTAAGATTGCAGGATATATCATCTAAAGTGACTTGCTAGCAGTGTCTATTACCTTAATTTCAGCAACCCAGCATTAGTCTTATAAACAACCATGGTGCCTTAAATCCATAAATATAGGGCCAAAGTTTTCATTTCATTCTTCTAGGAGACAATGTTACTATGGTATCATTCTGTTTGGATCCCTACCAATTCTGTGTGGATCCCTACCAATTAATCAAAGCCTCTGCATCTGGATATGTTAGCAAGCTTCAAAACGTATTTTAGAAAATATCAAACTGTCACTTATGACTTGTTACTCTTCTAAAGGAGAAATCAATGAAGTGATACCTTTTCTGGGTACAAGTATAATAAAAGGGAAAAAGAAAATGCTTTATCAGGAGAGAAGCTTGATGTACATGTACAGAAGCAAATAAGTGATAGTCTGATGTGCTGATGATTACATAGGTGCTTCTCAATAAACACTTGTTCACACGAATGCTATTCTCTGTTATTTATGCATAACAGAGCAGAGAAACAACTGGAAAAAATTATGAAATACTGGGTCTTACTCACTGAGGTTAAATGCTTATGGAAAAAGAAATCCATTGTTAAAGCAATCGTAATTGGACCCCTCAGAGCAATACCTAGGTGACTTTCTCGATATCTGGAAATATTGAATCTATGAGACCTGAATATCCTCACTTCACACAAAAAAACCTACCCTGCTTGGAACTACCTATAGTCTTAGATGCAATTTTAATAATCCTTAGCTTCTTGGTTAGGATTTGAATTATTAAGTTTCTTCCAGTCTTAGATTGTGAATATAACTGTAGATTACTCAGACATCATCCTCATCCTCATCATCACCCAGTTAGTCCTTGGGTTTCAAAAGCAACCAGTGACCAGGACTGCCATTGCTAAACTATGCAGTCGTAAAACATGATGTCACAGGATCTCATCGCTTAGCAATAGCAATCCTGGCAGTCCTGGTTCCTGTTGTAACTCAAGAGATGTGGTTAACGATTCTTACTTTTGGCCAACATTCACTGTAGTCATCTTCCGCATCCATGTCTCTCTCATCTGCAGAGTACTCAAGGTCCTGTTGTCTCCATGTTTTAAATGCCGCTCCCAAAAGGCCATGAACAAAAAGGACATCAGCTTTAATGGGCTCGCTGGTAGTGTAGAGAAGTGATAAAGAAAAATCCATTATTAATGAGAGCATCTAGGCCAACATGCTGCTTGGGAATTCCTGGAATTATAGTCCATGCATCTTAAAACTGCCAAACACTGATCTAGGCAAAGAATTAACACTCCATTAAATGCAATAATTCCTATCTCTTCTCAGCTAAAATTATTAGTAATGGTAGAGACCAAAGCTGATGGAATTATTCTAAGTTAGATTCCAGACCAGAGCAAGGAACCAAATGTTGACTTATATCTCCTAACGCCCCACCGGTATGATGACATCAGTTGAAAGGTAAACTTCTAAACATAAAGCCAAAGCAATTTACAAATGTTGACAAACATCTATGAGATTAATGCAAAAGGTTTGTCCTGCTTTTAAATTATTTGATCCATGCTGTGAATACCAAGTGAATACCTCGCTAAGGTTGAAAACATTCGCTGTCTATAAAGGTAAAGGTTCCCCTTGCACATATGTGCTAGTCGTTCCCGACTCTAGGGGGCAGTGCTCATCTCCGTTTCAAAGCCGAAGAGCCAGTGCTGTCCGAAGACGTCTCCGTGGTCATGTGGCCAGCATGACTAAACGCCAAAGGCGCACAGAATACTGTTACCTTCCTACCAAAGTTGGTCCCTATTTTTCTACTTGCATTTTTTACGTGCTTTCGAACTGCTAGGTTGGCAGAAGCTGGGACAAGTAACGGGAGCTCACCCCGTTACGTGGCACTAGGGATTTGAACCGCTGAACTGCCGACCTTTCAATCAACAAGCTCAGTATCTTAGCCACTGAGCCACCGAGTCCCCCTCGCTGTCTATGCACCAAGGCAATATTGAAAATCTCAATGAGTTTATGACAGTTCCCTGAATTTTTTTCCTTCCACTCAGAATATAGGACGGGAAAACAGAAAGAAAAAACTTCTCCCTGCACAAACAATTCCTCAGGCCGAACTGTTAATCTGCTGGAATACATGGTTACAGCAGCATTTGATGATTCATTAGTCAGTCTCTTACAACTGGATGTCTGAACCAGGGGTGGGTTCTAAATTTTTTTACTACCGGTTCTGTGGGCGTGGCTTATTTTGTGGGCGTAGCTTGATTGTCATGTGACAATTTTTTAGGATTTAGTGGAGGTACTGGTCTACCAGGCTTTTAACTGCTTGCAGAGCTGTACCGGTCTACCCATTTATTTTTGCAGGCACTGGTCTACTCATGTATTTTTGCAGGCACTGGTCTACCCATTTATTTTTGCAGGCCCGGTCTACTCATTTGTTTTTGGAGGCACTGGTCTACCACCAAACTGCCTTTTACCACTGATCAGCTGTAGGGCGCCCCTTTGAAGCCCCACGGCAAGAGTTTAAACAGTTTTTTCCCTTATAGCCCATCAGCTGGGACTTGGGAGGCAGCAATAGATTGGGGGTGGGGCCAAATAAAAGGTAAGAATAACCGGGGGGTGGGAGAATAGGTTCGGTGACATTATATTGTCACCGCTACCAGCTCAGCAGAACTGGGCGGAACTGGGAGGAACCCACCACTGGTCTGAATCAGCTCCACTGCAAAGAATACGCTATATCAGTAGATCAAATCTTGCTAAACTGTGGTTACAAATAAGCCTGAATTGCAAAACAGGCTTCATGTAAACAAGATAGAGCTTGATTACTTGGTTCGACATTGTGGGTGTAAAATGTATACACCATCTGGGTACTTTTCTTGCACCACTTCTCTGTCCAGATTAGCCAAGGCTCTTGCAGCGTGAGAGGATTCCATGATGCGTGGAGACTTCATCATAGCTGCTAGCATAGAAACCCATCCTAGCATTGAATTAAAATAAAACATTGGTGTCATTGTTACCTACTAATGAAGGTATATTTAATATAAATAATAAATATGTAGGAAAGTACTGTATTATATATACTGACTTGCTTTTCCCCACATTTTCTCTGGCAATTCTCTGCAAAATTATTATTTGTTAGCAACTGGAAGTCTAAAAATTTAATTTCTCCTGTTCGTGTTTGAGGATATGATGTAAGACTGATTATAACCAATAATTCATGCAGCAATATCAAGACGGACAGACAGACAGACACACCATGCCACCCTATGGGTAAGATATATACTGTCTACTCAAACTTTCTGCTATAAAAACCCTTCCAGAAATAAAGTCATCCTTGTCAGGAAAACCTTTGTTTTAATCATTCATCTATTTGATTCATTAATTTCTTCCCTTTTTTGAGAGGGATCCTAAAAAGAAAAATATACTGCCTCACAAACTGCAGAAGTATATGTAGTTTCTGATCATTTCCTTTTTTCCAAAGATGAATTCAATATACATCCATGTATCGTTTCTATACTATGCTCAACCAATGAGAATATATATTTGACTAACTGAATGAATTGCCTGGAATATTAAATAATTAAATCTCAACTCTAAAGTATTGGTTTCCAAAACTTTAGTTTCCTATAACTCTTGTGAGGAAAAAAACCACACGACAAAATATTTTAATAATTCTTTTCCAATTAACAATAACAACATTTGCTACTACCTGCACGTGTTATTGATGCATGAAGACGTTCGTCTAGTGCCATATTTCCAATTATGTGAATGATACTTCTTTGTATTTTGTGAGAATCTCTATGAAGGTGATACAACTTTTGCAGGAGTTGAAGTCCCTTATTTGCTTCAATTTTATTACAATGGCTAGGGATCTGAAATGATACAGGAATTGCAGTGATGAGCTGCACTTGAACAGTGTGCAAATCAAATATAAAATTATTTCATGCACAAAGAGTCACTGGGATTACCTGAACACTGAAATAAAAAGTGACTTGAGAATGCCTACACAGTCCATATTAATTAAGTACGGGCTTAATTAACAGTACGGTAACATGACTTATCGTATTTTTCAGAGTATAAGACGCACCAGAGTATAAGATGCACCTTAGTTTTGGGGGAGGAAAATAGAAAAAAAAAATTCTGTCTACCAGGTATTCATCTAGCTAGTGTCCTTAGCCTGGTCAGTTCAGCACATTAGTTCACTCACTGGTTTTGAGGTTGGGGCTGGTTGGGGCTAAAAAACAGCTTCTAAAGCACAGTTGATCGTCAGAGGGAGCTCCAGTGACTAAAGCAGGCGAAGCGCAGAAGGGGTAAGAGAAGGCAGCAGCTGTTCTGAGTAGCCATTTTGGGAACCACGCGTCACGTTTTCAGCCTCCAAACGCATCGTGTTTTCGGGTGGTGATTGGCAGCGATGTGCTTTGGTGATCCCCACAGTCTTGAAGGGCTCTCAAACGGAGTGTGGGGAGACTGAAAACGGGATGCGTGGAGCCCAAAAACACAAGCCATTGTCGGTAGCAATCTCTGCAGCCAGGAAGAGGACGTGTGGAGGCGGAAGGGTGGGGGCTGGCGGGTGGGCAGGGTTACCCTGTTGTTCCGCCAGGCCGGGCTATCAACATAATAATTTTAAATTGGGGTATTTTAAATTTCTGGGGTTTTAAATTGAGCCGAATTTATTTAATAGTTTTAATTTTTTAATTGATGGTTGTCTTGTGTTTTTAAATAGGCTGTACACCGCCCTGAGTCCTTCGGGAGAAGGGCGGTATAGAAATAAAATTATACTTATACATTCGGAATATAAAATGCAACCAAATTTTCAGCTTCTTTTAGGAGGGAAAAAAGTATGCCTTATATTCCCCAAAAAATATGGCAAGTACAATAGTACCTACACATTTTACAATCTATCTTGGGTTTTTAACAAGGCTTGGGCAGGGATTTTCTCTTCATGCCTTTACCTTGAGTCTGAGAGGGCTACAAATAGCTGAATTCAACTGTTTACAAAGTAGCAGCAAGTATGGGTAGAGGCAGAACCCAGAATTAATAGTGCTAAAATTAACTGGTTTGATTAAAAGGACCATTCATTTAACAGGAAAATATTTCTTTCATCTATTTTAAAATGAAAATCATAGCCTATTATCATAAAAAATATGAATAATTTTCAAACTCCTTGATCTTATTTTCAGTTTGTTGTCACTACTGAGCTCCAAAGAGGGCTCTAGGCCCAGACTGAGAAATCTCAGGCTAGGTGTTTCTGCTGCATTACCTTGGAATGTTCCACTAAAGCTTGCAGACAGAAGAGTTCCACTGTCTTTGCTGGTATGGTACTAAGACTTTCACAATATGGAAGACCATTACCTCCAAAACACCATAAGCCCCCCTGGAAGAAAAACAAGTCGAAAATTAATTTCAGAATAACAGAATGAACAATGTGAAGTTTGTTTACAATAACATTTCTGTAACAATGTGTAGTTTTACATTTTTTAAAAAATTAAGCATAAAGAGTACAGTGTATCTAATTGGTCAAAAGAAACAAGATCATGTCTCACTTTACAGAAAAGATGCTGTAACTTTGAACCATTTTAAAAATACTGACCAGCAAGACAGAAGTATCACTATCGTAACAGCCATTGGAGCATTCTTGCTACTAACATTACTTTCCAGGCAAACTACTCAAAAGGGATATGAAAATTTAATATTTATAAAGAAACATTTGATTATTCTGAAGGAATTTTTTTTTCCAGTAAATAAATCCCAATAAGAATTTACTCTGCATTATCAGTCAATTCAAGGAACTGATATAACTTGTCTGGAAACAAGCAAATATTTATTACGGTCTTCTCATTCTTGCTGGCTCAGACCAACCCTCTAAATTAGAAATTTACTGCCAAGACAGAATAACAGTTGAACTCGTCTTCAGTTTACTTGAGAAGTAAATAATAGTAAAAACCAAAGTATAAAATCATGGTATCCAATATTTCATTTTCCACCTTCAAATATATTCAGAGAATATGTCACTTTTCATATCGAGGATTTAATAGATTTATCTCCGGCTTCCTAGGCCAACAAATCAAAAGAGCCAACATAGTGTACAAAGCTAAAATAGTGTAAAAATGCAAACTAAAACTGGAATCACAATTACAATACATTAATGAGGAAACACACAAATAGAATGCCAGTTCTAAGTACCCAGTTGACTAGAATGTTGAACTCTGAAGTTTTGATAATATACCTTTTGGGCAGCTATGGTCTGGCTGCTTTCTCTTAAAGCTAAAGAGGTAAAATACTGTACACACGGGTCAAGATCTGTTTGAGGTAAAGATGCCAGTAGCAGTCGAAGTTCATCTTCTAAGCAACAAGTCTGAAATATGAAACCACAAACATTCCTGTTACTCTATGTTGTTGATGAATGACTCACATCAAAAAACTAGGACTTGTAAATGTTTTTATAGTATGAAGCAGCATGAGTTTTAGTCTATAAAGTTCCAGATTAGGGATGCAATCCTTTTCTGTGGAGACCATATTCCTTCAAGCACATTCTGATTAGGGAAGTACGCCTGAGGTGGCAGGAGAGATAACCAGAGGATATTGCACAGACATAAAGTTAACTCCCACCAACCACCTAGCTAACTATTTGTCTCTCTCTTTTTCTCAAACATCAGTTCTTGTGACATATGAAGGATTATTCACATAGCAAACTGAGCTGTTTGCTTGAAAAGGGTATTTGAAATTAACTGAGAACTAACTATATCATGTCATGGGGCAGGATGGACAGCATGCAGCCCTCTGCACCCTGAGATTCTGCTGCCAACATTCAGCAGCAAAATAACAAAATTTCAGTGGCACAATTTCAGGTAAATTTTAGTTCTTTTAGGCTAAGGCTGTGACATTCATTGGAAGCAGATCAGAAGAAGTCTTGTGGAAATCAGCTGCAATCACAGACATGAACTGGCTTTATATTTCGTGTTCCAGAGGATCTCTTCTGAATTAAATCCAAAGTGTGGCACAGACTGATTTTAGAGGGTTTTCAGAATGGGAATGGTAGAGCTTGCCTCTAGGAGTCTTTAATTCCTACAAATATTGATCTCTTCTACTCCTGTGCATGGGAAAGACAGTACTCCTGAGTCCTCTCACTGCAATTCCCATTCTTACACTCCACAAGGCCAAGTCCGGGGTTTTAAGATCATGACTTCTATTACTGTGCCTCCAGTGAACTCCTTACTCAGGGGAATGAGACAACTTGCTACAGCCAACTCGTTGCAGCCAACTGGCCATGGCCAACTCGCCACGGGACAACTCATTGTGGGACAATTTAACAATTTTATTTATTTATTTATTTATTTATTTATTTATTTATTTATTTATTTATTTATTCATTCATTCATTCATTCATATTTGTATACTGCCCTACTCCCGAAGGACTCAGGGCGGTGAACAGGCAAAATAAAATACAAAGACATACAAAAGTTAAAAAACTATTAAAAACAGGTTAAATAATTTAGGCTCAAAAAACAAATTAAAACATCCAATTTATCTAAAAAAACATTTAAAAGCCAATTTAAAAGCCAATTTAAAAGGGAGAGACCAGCCTGTTGGAATAAAAACGTTTTAAAATAAAATTATTTTAATTTTTGCCATTCACATTTCATTCTTTCCCTTCTTTTGCATCCTTTTTTAATGATTCTATTCCACCATTTATTTCATATTAGTGTAACTTTTGTCCTGCAACAAGTTGTCCTGTGGCAAGTTGTGCCGTGGCAAGTTGGCCGTGGTGAGTTGATCTTGGCGAGTTGGCCACAACAAATTGTCATAGACCCCCTACTCAGACACTGATCTCCCTTCCAATGACACCCCTGCACTCTTGCTCACAGTCATATTCATGAGCTTTCCATCCATCCTTGAACCTGGAGGAAACTATACTGGCATACTGTAAGTTGCACTGCACCCACAATGTATACCTCTATCACACATCACCAAGAAGGCCAGGCAAGGTTGCTGCCCTGAAACTAACTAGGGCAGGGTAGTTTCAAGACAGCAACTGTTGGATGTCTTATTGTTATTTTCCCTTCCACCCAGCATGGACTACTAGTGGAAAAAACAAACAAACACCGATTATTCTCCTGAACATGATGCCTTTGGGGTGGCTAGAGGTTGCCTTGACTTTCATCCTTTACTTCTGACAGGACTTTCTGTCAGTCTCCCAGGAGATCAACATCCTAAGAAATTATTTCATGGCACCTAGAGGGCGCTCGGATTATTCGTAGACTGAAATACTTAAGATAAAAAAGCCTCGGGGACCAGCATTCAAAGATTGATTAGATACAGAGCAGAGAAGCCCAAATCAGAACACAGCCCTCTGAGTTATTGTGCCTCTGGATCTTTCTTGCCTTTCTCCCTCCTGAGACCAATTTCCCCTGGGAGCCCTTTAAGTCAGGCAAAGAGCCTCTCCTCTTAGCATTTGATTGGGGAAGGTTGAATAAAAAAAGGATTTTAAAAGTATGCCTGTCCATATGGATGCCTTCCGGCAACTGCATTATACTACCTACCCCAATCAATTCCCAAGTACTAATTTTCAAGTATCTACATAAAAGAAGCTGCTGCAGTAAAGGTTGATCGGTTCTTATTATACATACCTCTTTTGGATTCAGTAAAAGATGCGGAGGCAGGAAAAATCTCAGATCAACGTCTTTACTCCGAGCTAAAGCAATGGCAGTTCTCTGGTCGCTTGTTTGGGCAACTGTCCTGTACTGATAATCTGTACTAAAACAAATATAAAGTTAGGATTTTCACTAATCCGAAATATATTTTTAGTAAAAACTATATAAACAAGCAATACATCTTTGCAATTAAAACCCCAATGAGGATAAGCTATCTGTTTGGAAGGGATTACCTACCTAGGGATGGCAGAAGTAAATAATTTCCCAATTTTGAAGAACAAAGACAGGGTGGGGTGGGGTGGATTTAGCTGTAACACTATTAACAAAGCTGTTAACACCTGCAGTTTGTATTGTGAAACAAAAGTTGCCAGTTTAAATCAGAGTCCTGTGGACAACAATAGCATTCTTACAGCATTTCCAATAGGAAGTCTGAGCTCTCACTGTAAAACATCCATCTATACTGGTTCTTGCCGAAGTAAGATATCAGAATTGAAAGGATTCTACTGTTTTTAAATAATTGTGTGTCCAATTACTGTCAAGTGTTAGCCCCACACCTTAATTGAAATTCAGCAAACCAAGAAACAAACACACTGAGGGTCCTAATCACTGAAAGGTTCTCCAGTACAAGCTCCAATTAAAATAAATGGGATCTTGTATTGTTCCTATTTAGTCTGTGGAAGTTGTATAAGAAAGGTTTTTGATATATTGTGCTGCTATCAATTGGCTATTCTTTTCGTAGTACTATGTAAGAGATAAGAGCCAACAGTAAGAACTCTGTAGCTATCTTAATAGATACCATTACCATGCCAGTAACGATTAGCGGCCAATTCCTGCACAGCTTGTAATCGGACCATTTTATCATTTGATTGACTTCTTTTCACAAGCAGCCACAAGGCATAATCGCACTCTTCTGCATCAAGTGTGCTGAAGCGTTCTTTACCAAACATAAAATAGGACAAGATTATTATAGTCACTTTATTTCCATCTTCGCATTATCAGCAGTACTGTAACTAAAAAATCATATTTTTAGAGTAACATTTTAAAGTGGGCAATTTCCTGGATCCACAATTAGGTGGCAATACCTAATTGATCTTGACTAATCTAACAAACTAAGCAGGTAAATTCTTGGATGATACATCTTCAGGGAACATTAGAGCTACAGTCAAGATTGGGTTACAATCCCAGAAAAAGGTACTTGTAAACAATTTCGTTAAAGTTGTCAAGAAAGCTGTACATTAGTATCAAGTCTGACTTGAAGGAGATTTTTCTTAATATAAACGATTGACCGGACTGTTTTGAATCTGGAAACTGAAGTTTAGTGGCCATAGCCAATAAATAGGTCTTGACTCCATACAACATTTAAGTATCCAAAAGTCATTTTTGCATCCTAGTGAGAACACTGTAGGAAGGACCTTCAAGTTAACACCTGTTCAGTGTAGGAATCCAAATTAAATCTTTCCTGCCAGATAGCAATCAAGTCTCTGCTTTAATGCATCCAGTGAAGCACATTACTTGACTGAACAATTGGCTCTTACTATTGCCCTGATTTTAAGCCTAGAACTCTGAATAAACACTGACAAGATATTTTATTTATGAAATAGCAATTGGCTTAAGAATAATAAAACATTTAAGCATAACTAGCATGTTCAGAGCCAATTCCAAAGACTAAGTCACTGTTCCAGATAATGAATATCAGCCAGATCATGGCAGCGTTGCACTTTAATTATATATATATGACAGGGAGAAATTTATTGATTTCCCAATATGCAGAAACAGCATTGGGCGGAGGGAATGGAAAAAGCTACATCTGTTTAGTTTCTGCATGGTATGAACTGTTAAAGGTACAGAGCTTCTGCTTTTAAAAAAAAATAACAGTTTTAGATTACAGCAAGTTGACAATGACATTCCTAAAGATTTTACCAAACCTACCATCAAAGGGCTTTTGGAAAATTCGAGCATGCATTTCTATAATTTTCTTGGCTGCTCGGTGAAGCTTCTTTCTCACTTGATATATCACTCCTACAAAAGCAATAAAAAGTCCATTTTGGTCAAATGATATATTGTCCATCCTTATACATAGACCAGAGCAGGAAACCAATTCTATAGGAAGAATTAGAACTATATTTGAGTGAGGTGGGCTTTAGTAAACAATTTTGCAAGTTTGCCTGTGCTTTCTCTTCCCTTCCCCTTATGACCAGTGAGTCAGGGAAAACTCAGCCTAAGTCTCTTCTGAATACTGTACTATCTCCCTCCCCAGGACCAAAGGAATGCTTCTCTCATTTTTGTTTATATAAGTTTCAGAATATTTGCTTCAAGGCCATCTCCCTGGCTCTCTAAATATAAAAATTCCTGTTAGATTCAGCAGAAAGAGAATGCCATTTGTGTCTTTCCTAATATTGCAGCCTCCCCTTCCAAATAAAACCTTGAGGCTCTGATTGGGAAACGGTGCATCACCAGCCAAAAAGGAATGTCACTGATACCAAACTAAACACTGTTCGCCAGCTAAGGATCAAGTGTTGACTTGTTCTCAGAAATGTCTGAGGATTGCTAAGAATGGGCTATTTGTTGGAATAGGAGAGATATCACCAAATCAAGCTTGTGATATGGATAGCCATACTCTTATTAATACAATTTATTAATAATAGACACAAGGAGGAAAGAAAAATAATTATTCAACTGGATTTTAAAAGAATATAGAAAACATCCTAGTCCTAGCTGACTAAATTTTCAGTAGAAGAGAATATTAAAAAATGAGAAAAACATTCTTATGAGGGAAAAAAAAACAGAAAATCTGGTAAAGTTCTAATAATAGAAGAGAACATGAGTAAATTTCTTCCATAATCTCCAGTATAATGTTGTTCCTTATGCATCAGGATGAATATACTAGTTCTTAATTAGTATTTCTTATACTCAAGGTGTGTTTCTAATTCATTCAATTATCAACAATAACCTAGTTTTTCTTACCTTGATAGTCACTTTGATCTAAAGAAACTGTTTGTAAGTAGATGTAGGATTTCAGTTTTTCTTGTTGTACCACTTGGGTATCAAAACTGAACAATTTTCTTAAAGTCAGAACTTCATAAGTAACAAATATACAACCACTTAAAAAAGCAGAAGACACATATTAGTGTAAGCATTAAAGTACAAATTTAAACTTGATTGCAGTTAGGTAGAAAATGAACCCATCTCTATTTTCTAAAATTTTAACTTCTGATCCAAGCTAGCAATTCTTGTCCATAGTTTTATCAGCTGAAGAATTTCCTCTTCTTGGTGGGGAAAATGTGGCGTTCTATATATGCTGCCCTGAACTCCTGATCAAAAAGAACATATCAGTCTAAGAAACAAGAAGAAATGTATTGATAAATACATTTCTAAATGTATTGATTGTCGCTGAAATGAAGGATCCTTGGTGCTCTCCGAGCTTGATTGTTTTCTTGCAGATGTTTCATTACCCAGGTAACTTCATCAGTGCTGGAAGAGAGCAGGATTTGCTCTCATTTTATATATTACCGTGTTTCCCCGAAAATGAGACCCTGTCTTATATTTTTTTGAACCCTGAAATAAGCGCTTGGCCTTATTGCCATGCGCTCAAAAGCCCAATTGGGCTTATTATCAGAGGATGTCTTATTTTGGGGAAAACATGGTATATATTTTATATATTATAAAGTGAGTATATAAAAGTGAGAGCAAACACTACCTAACTCCTTCTAGCACTGATGTTACCTAGTTCAGGTAATGTAAGAAAACAGCCAAATTCACAGAGCATCAAGAAGAAATGTCCATTCACTTCCTTTTCCCCACTTTCTTCTCTCTCCCTCTCCCATAAGCAGAACTCTCTTGATTCCTCTTGATATCCAAACTAGGCAAATCAAGATATGCTTGTGGGATACTTTCCTTGCTACCTTCTAGCCATGGTCTATCCCATAATCATATCCTGATGCTAGAAAGTAGCAAGGCAGTAAATCATGCAGAGATGGAGCAGGAAGAGTATTTCAGATCAGCACAAGCCGCTAAATTATCATCTCACAATCTTTATTGTTTTATAAATATAGGAAACAATAAGTAAATACATGAAACTGAGCAGGAAACACAATCTGCTTCTAAATTTAGATTTCAAATAAGGAAAGGCAAAACTTGTTTGTGGATTAGAAACCAAGAGAAAAGAGGAGAGGGGAGGGGAGGGGAGGATAGGGGAGGGGAAGGGAGTCAATTCTTTCAAAACTCACAATTTCTAAAGTTTTCAGGAATGACCGATTCACATAGCTTATATTTAAGGGCCCAAATTTTAAATGATAAAATAATGCAGGAATTGACCGTTATTATGTAATATATTAATGAGAGTCATACTTAATTTTGCACCCGCTTTCAGTACTAGATAATATTGTCAGCATTACCATATACACAGCATTTAAACAGTTACGACATACTATATATATTCACCAGAACAGCTGAAAAAAAATAACACATTAAACACCTACAAACTATGATTCTTTAGTTTTATTCTAAAAACATAACGGATGTTTGCCAATAAAAACTTACCCCAGAATAAGTGAGCCAGTTAACTTCATAATTTTTCCTTAAAAATTAAAAGCTCAGTATCACTGCATGTGCAAAATCAGATGTTTTAATACAAACATTACATTAATAATGAGTTATATACAGAGGTTAAGCTAACTGTACTTAGTTATTATTAAAATAAATATATGTGAGTCCATTTAACTTCTAATTTCAATATTGCTTATTTATTAACTGTTTTTATGCCAACACAATAAAAAAAGACTCTTGGAAGTTCTCATACAAAACTAATGGAATATAAAACAAGCCCATGCAAAAATAAAAACAATGCTGCCATAATTCAAAGAGAACAAAAATATGGTAATTTAACTGAATTAAAATAAATTAGGGAAAGGCTCTACAAAGTAATTCAATCCTTAACAGCTTGTGGAAAATAAGCAAAGAGGGAATCAGACTGATCTCCATAACATCAGCACTGCAACGCCTCCTTGTCTCAGCCCCCCCCCCCCCCAAAGTTCCTGAAAGTGTGGGATGCATATGTTTCTCATTGCTGTAGCTAGTTGGTTGGACCACAGATGGCTGGAGAATGTGGTTCTGAATATATCCAGGTAACAAGCCATGAAGGGCTTTATAGATAAAAACCGGAACCTTAAACTGGATCCCGAAATCAATTGGCAACCAGTGCAGGGTCCACAACACTACAAAAAGCTCCCATACTCAGAGCCCAAAAGTGTATAATTTTTAAATATTTATAGCCTGCTGGATGAGCAGTCCAGACAGATAAGAGCATGAGGTAGTGTTATCAACCCTTTAAGCCTCAGGTAAGGCCCTAAATAATTAATTTAATGGTAATTTAATTAATTCCTATTCAAGGTTATGCAAAACTATGTCTTTCTTCTTAGGGAGCAAGTGACAGCTCTGTGTAAGTCTAACCACTTTAAAAAATTTCTACAGTTGGGACTATGCCCACTCAACTTGATGAGATTATTTCTGGGAAGCATCCTTCAAACGAGAACACACAATTTGGCAAACTAACCTGGCAACAAAGCTCAAGTTGTGAATTAAGAAGAATTTACTTCTGAATAAACTTGTACAAAATTAGATTTACAACATTGGTTTCTTCCATTAGTCTTTTATGTAGGTATGATCCTCCCACCACCATTCTGAAAAGTTTTAAATTATGGAATAAATATCATTGGATTAATAAAATATTCTAAACAGATTTCATCATTGGAAATCATAGTTTCATTTATATTACTAGTTCCAAAAATCAAATGGTACAGTATTAATTCTTATCAAGATGACCTTATCAACATTTTTCTGTCTAAAATTTCTATCACATCTTTTTTAGATGGCTATCATTTTATATTATGTGCTGAAAAATAAACTTTTCAACCTTGTGTTTAGAAAAATATTCAACTCATTCTTAAATATGGCTTAAATATTTAAATAGTGATGCAGAGCAAGATCCTAAGATCCTGCTCAGAGATGCTACCTTCAAATACACTTTATATTTCCATTGGTACATATATTTCCTTTTACAGGAAAAAAAAACCCAATAAATCAAAAGTTCTTCATCAATCCTATGGAATGGTGATAAATATTTCTCCAAAGGCTATCTCTAGGAAGAATATAATTTCCACCCCTTATTGACTTTTTGTGTAAAAAACCCATGATTTATGGTGTTGATGATTAGACAGATTATAGAAAGAAGAGTGTCATAATGCAGTTTTAGAGAAATAGCTTAAATCTTAATTGTACTTATCACCAATATGAAAAAAATGAAAAACAACCGCTTCATATCTTTCTTTATCCTTTTTTCTTTTCTTTTTTTGCATTTTTAGCCTTTTCTTTTTTCTTTTCTCTTCCTTTTTTCATTCTATTTTAGTTTGTATTATTTATTATTCTTAATAAAACTTTCAAATAGATATATATAATTTGCCTAGGTAGGCAAAGAAGTGATGTGCAGCAAGCTCCAAATGATGAATTTATCTGGGAAATCATTCAAATAAAATAATGATAGAGTCAGGCTTGTAAATACAGAATTGCACTTACTGATATCTTTCCATGATTGATCAACTTTCCATGTTGAACCTAAAGTTCCTATCTTTCTACAGCAAACCACACAATAAGCAGCCAGAGACATTCTGTAAAGGTACAAAAAACTGATTTAGCACATCAACAGGATTTTAAAAATTATTTTGTATATCAGTTATGCCCTAGTCTAATACATAGCATTCTTTCCAAAAACATATATTGCTAGTAGAGGATTTCATGATTGTAAAAAAAAAAAAAAACCTCCAAGTGTCTTTCAAAGGAAAAAAGAATTATATCATTTTCCAAACTTTTTGATTCAAAAAGCCTTTCCCTTCTGAATTTAAATGAGAGATGCAATTCATTTTACAATCCAAAATAATCTATTTTGCTTCACTGTATGTTTTTAATAAGATAATTATTTTGGCTGTCCACCTACACTGGAAAAAAGAGAGGTTCAGAGACCCAATGAAATTCACTGAAATCTAATAAGTTTGCTGGCAATCTATAGAAATATTATTGGAACCATAGAAAATGCTTGGATCTTAATGACAATTCTGTGCAGAGATTCACTACAAGGAATAGAGCAGAGAGCACAATCAAGCTTTTTTGGGCTAAGGCGTTCTACTGATACGATATCACTTGATTCAAAAAATCCTGTGCTTCCTCGTGTTATACCACTAACTCATGCTGTCAATACTTTGCTGCTTATTCCATGGTTAACTTTACCACTTTACTCAACTAACCCAATTTGGGGAGTCTGCATGTTACACTTAGTATTAACTAGTTTTGCTCAATAACTTAGGGTAAAATAAGGCAAGATGGTCCTTAGTTCAGTAACTACAAAGAATGCTCAGATTTTCAGTATAAATCTACAATGTTTGAATAAATCTGGGGTTTTAATAAATGACTCATTAAAAATACCTAAAATGTGCCATACATGAAGATAAAGTTTTTTTTAAAAAAAAATCACTGTATGTTGTTAACAATTTTTTAACAGCCATGGAACTATAAAAAATAAACTGCCGCCCGGTTAGCAAATGAAGCTTTCTTTGTTGGTGAACATGCCATCTGACTTCTTTTTCTTTTCTTTCTTTTCAATTTATATACCGCCCTTCTCCCTGAGGACTCAGGGCGGTGCACAGCCAGAATTAAAAACATGAAATACAAATATTAAAAACAATTAAAATCTATATAAATTTGGCCCAAAAATTTAAAAAACCACAAACCAATTAAACATTTAAAAAATTTCTTCCTAAACCAGCCCGGCTTGCTGGAAAAAGTGGGTTTTAAGGGCACGGCGGAAGGCACTGACTTCTTGGAAAACAACCACCATTTCAGTTTTGCAGTGACTTGTAGCTCAACCTGATTAACTGCCTTGCAGATGTGTTTCTGAGAACAGATCCAAGAGTTGTGGGAGGGAAGGGTGACTAATTTCATACTCGAAGAACCACCATTCACTAGGAAAAAAAGAAATATTTTATTCAGGGGAAAAAAAACAACAACACTGCGCATCTCCCTCTGAAATAAAACACGCCTTAACAAGTACACACACTTGGAAATAAAAATTGCAGCAGAACGCAAGGCGCTTTTTAGCCTTTAGCGAAGGGACAAAAAAAGATTGCAATTCGCAAAAACAGCATAGAAACGCCCCGTTTCTCCTAATTTTAGGGGTGCAGGGCACAATGAAAAGGGTACGCTCTATAGTCTAGGCAAACGGATAGAGTCAAGTCTATCATTGCTGATTACAGCTATCGTTATACAATAATGGACAAATGAGCTATACGAGCATCCTTGGCAATATTACTCCTTAATTCAGGGGATCTCTCCGGCTAGGCAAGGCGACAGGTCCTCCAGCCCCGACTTCGCAACCACGCACCAAGCTGGCCCAAACCACCGCTCTTCTCTTCCTCCTCCTGCCGCCTCCTCCTCCTCCTCCTCCCCTACCTGCCCATCTCGGATCCCTGTCCCACTGTCAACGACGAAGCCTTGCCATACCGCCCACGCTCTGACGTCGACGCGCCCCACCTGACGTCACCTGGAGCGCCGCCCTTCACCAGGAGGCAAGCCAATCCAAAGACAATATAGGAGGAAGGCGCCTGCGCAGTTGTGGATCTTGCGTCTGAGTCGGCGCTCCTTCAGTCTCCCACTTCTTCCGGTCGAGGGGGGGGGAAAACAGGAGTGACCGGGTGTGTTCGTCGCCAGGGCAACGTTGCCGGACGGGTGAAGCACGATTCTGTGTTTTCTTAGCTTGAACTGAGTGGGTTGTTTTTTTTTTTCTTGGAAGGTCTTTCTCTTTCTTCCCCAATTTCTCCCTCGTTTATCCTCGTATCTCTGGCATTAAAGGGTTCCCTTTCTGCAGAGCAACATAGACGTCAGTTTTTGCATCTTAAATAGTTGCAGCCACTCTCTTTCAGCTTAGTTTTATCCGGGGTAGTTGCACACTAAACCTCATCAATCTGGCCGAGGATGATGGGAAGTGCATTTGCAAGCTGCCTGGAAGATGCAGCTAGTAGGGCTGCCAGATGCTCTTGTAAACCATAAGGTTTCCTCCCCTCATTAGCCTGAATTAGGCTTCTCCAATGTAAAATTAGGGCTACCAAATCTGGGCTGCAAAAATCCCGAGTACAGGGCAGAGTTTTCTGTATATCTTCGTTGCCATCTAAGGTCCGTGAAATTGATAGATAAAAAATCTCCACAAAACATAAAGTGACTTTGAATGAACGTGGAGCTAGTTCTAAACAGATACTATAATAAGTTAGATATAAATATGCCCAGATTCAAGATAGAAGTAACACATGTTATTGATAGGGCTTTCCCCCCCCCTTTTTTTTTAAAATTGGAACATATTAAAATATTGAAGCGCATTCAGAATTATATTAAATAATTTATTACATTTAAAGTTACTATGTTAATTAACTGTACAGGCCCATTCTCACTGAAATGAAAATCAGTAAACCTGAATTCAGCTTAACTTTTGCTCAATTGAACTGGCTAGGATAGAAGCTTACCCATCAGGACCTTTGTATTGATTTTGTTCAGTTTAAGATTGTGTCATTTTCTACAAATAGTTTTTCCATTTGATGTTTTAGGAATCTGACCTTGTGAAGAAGATGGTGAATGTTTTGAAAGGGATACTTATAGAATGGTAAGCAAAAATATATTGGTAATGCAAGTGCTACCCCAAGCTTGTAAAAAATTTGGTAGCATGGGCAGGAAATGTTTATGTTGTGACATGGTTACAAGAAACACTGAGTAATGATTGTACTGTAATCAGCAAGTGAAATAGCATAAGTAGCATTTTAAAGGAATACCATTTTAGTGACATGATGTGTATTATTCATGTAACTTATAAACTATAGATATTTGGTATGCCTAATTCATATTATAAAGATGGAGATTATTCTGCCAACAGCCTCATTTTCTTACTACGCTTACATTTAACTGGCTTAAGTAGTTTGTCAATATTGCCTTTAACTCTAATTTCTAAAGGTGTTATATGTTTAAATTACAGATTGTAAAGAATTCACTTAACCAGCAGAATGGGCTGAGACAGCAATTACTATCATCTGCTAGTACTCTCCCCTTTATGTAAACTGAATAATGTAGCTACAGTTTAATATTAAATTTGAGGACCCTAGGCCTCGTGAGCAATTACCAGATTAGAACCACCAAGACATGGTTCTAAAAATACCATATCCAAGCTACAGCACTCCATATAATCACTGGAGGATAGTATCAAATTAAGGGTTTTGTGCAACTATTTGTTGCATCTAATGGTCATCTATTTTTTTTAATTCTGCTGTGTGTTCATTAAGAACACACAGCATCAAAAACAACATGGGGAGAAAAAGGATGGGTACTAGGTTTTTTTTAAAAAAGAGATTCACCTTCAGAAAGATCAGTGTATGCATAGAAATAATAAGGCACAATTCAGAGGGAAATTAAATTCAGAGGGAAAAAAAGGCTTTGAAAAAAACCAGAAGCAGGCAATTGCTTTTAGCTCAATTATTTAAAACCAGTGCCTAATGCAATTCTAGCTACTTACCCACTATATACCCTAGATATCTAAATCTTGTTTTTTCATGCATATTGAAAAATTTCATTCCACAACTTGGATGGGAGGTTTACATTCCTTTACTTCCTTTCTTACAGCCAGCTGCTGTAAGATTCCAGTAAACTTCTCCTTAGTATTTAATTTCAAAGGAAAGGAAGTTGTTTTGGCTCAAAGATTTGGTCAGCCAGCCTTTTAGTCTACTATAGATAGAGGTGTTTACAGTATGATAGTAGATGTATTCAGAGAATTTCTAGCAGTTTATGTTACTATATGGCTGTGAAACAAAATGAATATATTTCTTAGGCCAGTGATTGCAAAAAGAAATTCAAAGAGGTATTTTACAAAATGCATTAGCACAATCCACTTTTCCTTGAAGTACTATAGCATCTGTTTGTGTATGAATGTACAAATAGTACTTTTGGGACCATAAGAGAAGTAGCTACACATGCACATACAGGCAGAGACAAAAATGGACAGCTTTCAGAACAACCATGTGAGCCTTGTTAAGGGTACAGCTGCCTTAACACTTCGAAGAAAGATAGAAAAAATGGTTTGATAGATTTATTTCTCCTCCCTCATAATCTCTTCCAGATTGGGAAATGTTATTGGAAAAAGTATCTATTCTGAATTGATTTTACACTGAAAATTTTAGATATTTGACTATCTATTTCCAAATTTAACTTCTTTTTTGATTATATAAAATCTGATTATCATGACTGTCGCAAGTTAATCTTTTCTAAGTCAATGTTTTAGTCAAGTTTCAGAACTGCGGCTAACAAAATTGCCATAGTGAATGGATTGTGCTATGAAAGGGACAATTGGAACATAGCCCTTGGATTCTTCTTGCATACATAGTCCCATTTGATAATCATCTGTTGCCTTGCAAGTATTGGGATCTTAATATTAAACTCAAGTTGTTCCTGAAGGATAGAATCCAGATGACAATACCTGTCAATATTTCTCCTTGGTTTATGGTCAATGGAATCTGTAAGATTCAGCCTTGTGCTTTGTAATACAGGTAGTCCTAACCCCTTGTTCAGCAACCGTTCAGAGTTATGACGGTGTTGAATGAGTGGTATTTACAGCCTGATGTCAGTTCTATTGATCCCAGTACTAGCTTACATGTACAACATGTTTCAGCATTCTGCAATCACATGATTACTGTTTGTGACCTTCCCTCTGGCTTCCCACAAGCAAATGGGAAGCCAGTAGGGAAAGCCAGTACAGAAGATGGCAAGTCACTCTGGTAAGTCTCCTGCATCCAGGAGCAGCCAACCCCATACTGCCCTGCTTGCACTACATCTATTTCTTGTGCACCCTGCAGCAACTACACCAGGTCCTACTCTACTGGTATCCTTATGTTCCCTCCCCCACCCGGCAGCAGCCACATATCAGTTTGCCAGCTTGTTTGCAAGCTGCCTGGAAATTGCAACTTGTTGCTGGCTTTCCCATTAACTTTGCTTGCAGATCCTCACTTAGTGACCCACAAAGCCTTTCAATGATGACAATGGGGACTGCTTGGATTGCCATCACAAAGCATGACTTCATGCTTTATCACCGCTCCACTTAGCAATAGAAATTACAGTCCTGATTATCTTTGTTAATCGAGGACTATCTGTTTTACATGAAACTGTTGGAAATTGTCATTCAGAGACTGGGCTAAAAAGTCATCACTATGCCCTTGATACTTGAATATATTGATCTTGAGGACATATTAAAAACCACATTTAATCATATTAAAAATTGTTTATCTGATTAGATGAAATATCTAGTTGAACATAATTCCAACTGTTTGCACTCAATTCAAATAGGTGGAATATACTCATTCAATTTGATTGTGGTTTAATGGTTCAGCCTTTCTTGGATAAGATTGCACTCCTCTGAAAATACCACATTTGAAGTTGGCAGTGTTCCTTGGCTTGTATTCTCCTGCTGGAATATATCCACGAGAAGGAACAATCTTTTCTGACCTTGTACTTTAGATTTTACTTGATGACAGGACTTTGTTACAATTATTCATGGCTTAAATACTTCCTGGATAGAATGTTAGGTTATATGCAAAGCTAACCTTGAAAAGTATTAGAAACTGCAGTGACTGCAAAACATATGGAGTAAAGTAAGGTACTGGTAACCAGAATATGTTGTACCTATTTTACTAAATTCACATTTGCTCCCAGTCTTTTTTCATCACTGATTAAATTTAACCTTCACAGCTTTAACAGTTTTGGTTCCTATGAATCTTAACAATGCTGCTTCAGTGCATTTTCTCATATAAACACCTGAGTTTTCATCTACTTAAGTCATAGCAGATATTTTTTTGAAACATGGTAGCTATCTATGAAATATCCTCCACAACTGAAGGTGGCCAAGATCCACGCACTATAACTTTGGATGTTTGGTCAGGGTTGGATATTTGGGAGAATCCTGAAAATACTTGCTCTCTTTAACATATTAGGATGTTTTCATAATAGTTTTCATTTTTTTCAATTTCATCATGTTTTATTTTTGCTTGGTTGCTTTATAAAGTTTATGACATTTAATGCATTTCATAAATGTGGTTTTATTGTATTATCTTGACATTTGCATTGTAACTATTGCAAGCTTAATTCGTTGAAATGTTATGCGAGATTACCATAATTTTATCCTTGTCCCCACAGTGACCCAGCCATGAAGCAGTTCCTGCTGTACCTAGATGAATCAAATGCCCTGGGAAAGAAGTTCATCATACAAGATTTAGATGAAACCCATGTCTTTGTGTTGGCTGAAATGGTTAACTTCTTGCAAGAGAGAGTGGGAGAATTAATGGATCAGAACTCTTTTCCTATTACACAGAAATAAAAAACGAGGCTGGATATGGATACACATCGAACTGAAAACCTGTAAATTTTTCTGTGAATTAATTTAAGGCAGATTGAATTATAGTCACTATGAGAAGTGAGCTACGTACATATCAAGAATTCTCTTTTATTGTTTTGTGTTTCATCCTGTCTTAAAACTGCAATTATGCTAATAGCTCATTTTGTTTGCCAGTGTAAATTACTATAGGATTTGAGATTCTTTAGGATGTTCTTTGCAGAGGTGGGTGCAATGTTAGTATTGATATTCAGTTGCTCTCTGTAATATTCCCTCATAGAAAAAGCCACCTTGAAATACAGTATGCTTTTAATACAATATGAAGGAGTTGTTTTTTATATTTCCAAGGAAGATTCTTAAATTTTGTAATTTGAATACTCTTGAAAAAGCATACAATTCTCCGCTTACAACCACAATTGAGCCCAAAATTTCAGTTCTAAGCGAGATGGTTATTAAGTGATTTTTGTCTCATTTTACAACCTTTCTTGCCATAGCTGTTAAGTAAATCATTGCAGTTGTTAAGTTAGTACAACAACCCTTAAACATATAAACATAGCCAGTGGGCCCCACATCACTCAGCCCAAGGCCTGGAAAACGAAAGATTTTAAAGGCTCCTTGGGATGCCAACAGAGTGGGAGCAACTCAAACCTCCAGGGGAAGCCAATTCCAAGAAGGCAGCTAGGATATCATTTTGAGCTGAGCTTTACTTTTAAGTTTTAACTAAATAGTAAAACTTTATAGAGTAAAACATTTATATCATTACTACAAAGCATCTTAAATAAAAATGATTTAACATTCATCAATGCATGACACTTCAGACATGCAGTACTGTCCTATGCATATTTATTCTAAAGTCCTACTGTACATCAATGTCATTTTACTATTCATGGAATGGTACTTCCAAGATTCATATGCTTTGATTGGAGATAAGTGGCTATTGATTTGGAACCGAACTAAGAGTTGCCAGAAGTATCTATAGAAATTGCTCTCCCATTTTCTCTAGTGAGAGCAAACATTCATAGAAAAACTAGCTTTAACTATCTTTGTAAATGGTTGGAAACTACTGGGGTATTTTATGTAGCCTTTTAAAAGTTTTAAATAATTCTCAAAAAATATTTATGTTGACATATGGATTGGATGAAATATTTAAGTTTTTATGCTTATACAGGTGTTAATTTACTAATTTATTGAGCATATACTTTTCTCTTTCAGTCCCAAAGGTGAAATCGGAAATATATATTTGTGACATGCAAAAAAGTGTTAAATTGAAATAAACAAAAGTACTTGAAAATATATTAATTCTAATATATGTTAAATGTTAAAATTGACTTCTAATACTTAAAAGTGTTCGTGGCCCATAATAACTGAATAATATTTGCAGCAAAGATTAAAAAAAATACTTGTCGAAGAGTTATAATGTCACATTATAGTTTGTTGTTAATAAATGTCAGGATGTGCAAAAGGTTGTATATACTATACTACATATACATTATACAAAACTCTTACCCTTAAGTCTTTGTTTCCCTACTTTACCCTTTTCTGTGTTATTTGTCCAGCAGTCTGCAAGAATTGGATATAATTGAACAGAAGAAGAAGAAGATATGGGATACTTAAGTTAAAGTCCTCCCTTAGCCATGCTGGTTGGTAGGGTAGCTTTGACTGAGGCACTTTTTCTCAACCCAACCCAAACTGCAATAAGTGAAACATTCACAATTTGCAGTGTAAGACTTAGTTGCAACCCCTCCACAACAGAGCCTCTTCAGAAGTTGTAATCAAGTTATGATTATTAATGTGGTTTTGTTTTCTATTTAGTCATGTTCTGTTCTCAGTGCCTGGACAAGTCCCTGCAATTTTCTTGACTAGCTTTTTCAGAAGTGTTTTGCTATTGCCTTCTTCCTAGGGCTGAGAGAAATGACTGGCTCAAGGTCATCCACCTGACTTGTGCCCAAGAGATATTTCGTGTTAGACCATATATAGTCTATAGATTGCACTTGAGCTAAAGTTTGATAAATCGAAATCTACAAACATGGTTTGATACAGAATAGATCAACTGTGTCTCTCTTAAGCTTGAAATCGCAAATCGTGATTTGGGATATTATTTTTAAGGTCATATTTTGAAATATTACCGTGTTTCCCCAAAAATGAGACCCTGTCTTATATTTTTTTGAACCCCGAATGGCTTTATTTTTAGGGAGATCTTATTATTTTGGGGCGCATGGAGCAAGATGGAGCTCTTCTTGCCTTCTTACCTGATTTCCAGGTAAGTTTAAATATTTTTGGGGAGGATTTATTTTCGGGGTGAGGTTTATTTTAGCACATGCGCTTATGGCTTATTATCAGGGGATGTCTTATTTTTGGGAAAACTCTACTTTTTTCCCCAAAAACAATTGAATTGTTTAATATTTTTATCTGGGATAGTTCCTGTTAGATCATAAATAGTTGATTGCACTTGAGCTAAAAGTTTGATAATCAAATCTAAATTTACAAACATGGTTTACTGTGCCCCTCTTAAGCTTGAAACCAAAAATTGTGGTTTGGGATTTGGGATATTTTTAAGGTCATACTTTGGAGTAACACTTTGAAAAAAAGCAAACTTCCCAAATATGAACTTTCTACATGCCTGGAATATACAGCAGTTTGCATATGGTTCTATACCTGAAAGCAAATCCTTACCCTTCATATTTATTTCCATCCTAATAATTAGTTTTCTATCTGAAGTTATCACCAGCATAACATCAGTTTATATAAAATTCTCTAGTGCATATTAATACTAAAAAGAAATATAAACCATTGCTAGTTTATTCATTTCATTCTAAATATTCTGAAATACAGTTTATGAATGATAATTATACTGTCTTTTCCACTAGGTGCTTTGATTTGTTACCTTTACATATATTAACTTGGTCAGAAATACTGAAAAATAACACTGAAAGTTTTGTTGAATGTTGAATTTAAACGTAGCAGTTAAACGGTAGTGTAGATCTTGCTTTACACATTCATGCCCTGTTGATTACAGCTGCATTTTATATGATTAAAACAAACAATGGATTAATGGAATGGGTGGCTACAAAGAGATTAAAAGGCCTCTAGTTCAAGTCTAGACTGAAAATCAGGCTTGTCAGATATTACATCTTCTATTCTGCTCTACGGAGTAGAGAGTTGGTCTCTGACAGAAAATCACTTGAAGAAACTAGAAGCATTTGAAATGTGGATTTACAGATGGTTGTTACGTATCGCCTGGAAAAGCAAAGGGAAATCATCAAAACCATTAAAAAGCTAAAATTAGAATATTTTGATGCGACACCCAGAAAAATAAGGCATCCTTCACTTAATCCTCCAGGGAAAGATTGAAGGTCCAAGCAGAAGAAAAACACCATGGCTTCAAAACCTAAGGGACTGGTCTGGACAAAATCCCATCACTTTTTCATGCGGCTGTTGACAAAAATAGGACTGCCAACATGATTGCCAACATATGATGACGGATATGGCACAAGAAGAAGAAAGTTCAAGTCTGCTACCTTTTACTAGAGGCCTACATATTGGAATTTGCCACTTAAATGTTTGGTTAAATTCTGCTATACCATTTGGAAGAGAGAAAAACCTGAACTCTAGAAACTAGATTCCTGATTGGAATTATGCTAGGTACATAATATCATCTGGGCTTAATCATGAATTATTACACTGACCACTGTATAGCTAATTTCTGAAATCTAAAAAAGAGAAGAATATTTTAAGCCACTTCTGTAAACTTTACTCTAATTAATTTAAAATACATTTTTTAAGTTCTTCCACTGGGCTCAAATATTTCCTTTTAATTGAAAAGAACACCATTAGTCAACTGAGTATCATGGTGATCCATTACAGTTCATAATTATAATAGTTGAACCACTTTAATATGTTTTATAATCTTCAAGTTTTAAAATAATAACTTAAATCACAATTGTCCTCATTTTACGGCTGGGAAACAGATTCTGCACTATATGTAACTAGCAGTCTATAGGTGTCAAGATATTTCAAATAGATTCAAGTTCATTACTCTGCTTAATGAATCACATGCTATTTGCTTTCCTTCCTATAATTTTTCTTTACATTTTTGTCATTTTTGCTTTCACTTCTTGCCATAGAAGAAAAATGAACAACTTAGAGAAAAAGATATTTCTTTTTCTGATATTTGATTCCATTTTGCTTTATATCCAATCTTTTAGAACTGATTTAAGTCCTGTTTCTAGGCATCTTTTAGTCTCAGCCTTGTTACAGGGAACATACCAGGAAGAAAAGCTCTTACTCACTTTAATTAAAAGTAAAAGAAAAGAATGCACTGAATATCTATGTGAGTCACACATTCATTCTTTTAAAACTCTGGTTATTATTTTCTTTAGAATGAAGGTAACATCTATGTTTCTAGCATTTGTCTTTTCTTAACTTTGATAAAGTGCATGGCACAATAGAATTTGGAGGATAAATAATTTGGTATGAAAAGAGATTCCTTACTTATTATAGGAGAATTGTTTAAAACAGAGCTAGCCATATGATAGGTCATATTGTGTGTGATTTGATTTTTCCCAAGATTTCTAAATGAGAAGTATCTACTTTCCTATCATCAAAGTTCAGGTTTTATTCCGTTGTTTTTTACTCCTCTGAATTTCTCCTTCTTCCTTTCCCTAACTCCATTTGCACACCTTGATTGGATTTCAGTACCTATCATTAAATTAAAATAACTTGCATTTATGAAAACTTCTTGCCTCTGTTCTGTACCAAATATTATTAATTTCAAATTTAAATTACATAAATGTATATCAATACGAGATCATCTATGCAACAAAATACAACCATGAATCCATTTGTTGCTCTTCCGTTGCCACAGAAGAGACAGAAAACAATTGGAAAGGAATGGAAATGATATCCACATTCTGTAGCTTTGAAGGCAGACTGTTTCAACCCAGAAGTTTGATTAAAAGTGTTGATAACTTGTGTACATCTATAAAATCTCACTTTTGCCTTTTCCTCAGAAGTTAGAATCTATTAGTTATATAATCTTACACTAGGCAATAATAAAACAAAAAGATTTCATTTATATTATGCCTGTTTCATGTCGAAAACTCGTTTCTTAAGACATAGATGCACATTTCACTTAAAAGCTTAAGGATTTTGCTTTTACCTGGGTTTGGTGTAAAACATTTAAAAGTAAAATTTTCTCTGAGTCAAGCTTAATTGATGACTTCAAGTATATATCCATGTGATTTTCTGGCCACCAATAAAGAAGTTGTTTGTCATTACCTTTCAGGCTATTTCTCTTATTCCTTAGTCTAACCTGTATGCTTGTTATTGCCTCCAATCTGCCACCCATGCTCTAACTAAAGGCAATCCTTTTTAGCCTTTCAAGATCAACCTTGAATGTTCAACCTAACTAATCCTAATAAGTAATTCTTGACCACACAGAATTATAATGCCCAGAGTTTCTGTTTTGCTAATAAAGAGTCATTTCAAAGGCTGATAGTTATTAAATACTGAGCCAAGTATCTGGATGCAAATGTCATTTTAGGAACATATGATAATTTCTGTAGGCCCTTCCTAAGCATGATACAGTAGATTCAAAGATTTTCACAAATGAACAAATGCATATTTTTAGACAATAAGTTTCTTCCAAGAACTTGGTTCATCTCAGGAAGAATATCCATTAAGTGGAATATTGTTAAGACAGGGGAGGAGAGAAGGTTCTGGAATCCATCATGGTGAAATGCCAAGAAGCTATGAAGAATGAAGATAGCATACTAGCCAACTACGGTAGCAGAAAATGCATTCTGGGCAATTTCAACACAAAATACCTAACTAGTTTGCAGCTTAATCCAATATAGTTATAACACATTCCAAGTCAGGTATTTAAGGCTATTTATAGATGATTGATTGTGATATCTTCGATGGAATATCTCCAGGTTATTGCTTTTTACTAACATATATTAGGCACATTTCTTTAATGCTGTCTTACCTCTACTCAAGCCAATTTTGCAGGTTTCTATTGCACTTCAAGTTATCAATATCTTGTGGAAAAGTAGACAAAAAAGGCTAAAATAGCAGCATACTGGTGATATATATGTTGATGTAACTTTTAAATAAATACATGGTTTATTTAAAATATTTATGTTACTTTCTATTTAAAACACCTTTACAATCTCTAGAATAACATCTGGAAGATTCATAAGAGCATAACAACATGCATATTTACATAGTCACTTTATACACACACACACACACACACACACACACACACACACACACATATATGCCTTTCAGGTTTTGTTTTTTTTTTGAGAAAAAAACCCGAAAGGTGGGGAAACATCTGTTCTTCTTTCAAATTAATAATTAAGATAAATTTTTGGTTTCAAATATGATGTTTTAAGAATACAATTCCCTGCCTTGAGAAAGAGAGGAATAAGAATTGAAGGGCACTGCTATTTGTAGCAATTTCTTCATTTCATTTTTTACTGAAGAATTCTAGAGGTAAAATCAGGTTGGCATCGAGTGGATCCAAAATTAGTCCATTTCTTCAACTGGTCCCAAAATGGCTCCATCTTACTTATCTTCCCAAGTGAACACTGGACAGATATAGCTATGGTAATTCTTTCACAAACACTCCTGATAATGAGAAATTGAAATATTTTTTGGGGGGGGGATTTATTCATAGCTCATCTGGATAAACTCCCACAATTCCCAGTTTTCATTACAAAAAAGAACAAGTTTCTATGCATTCTGGAACCAAAGGTACAAAGAAAAACACATAATCCTCCTTTGCCTGTTTGTAAGGGGAATTTTTTTCCTTTTCAGTGAGTTTAAGAACCAATGAACAATTTTATCAGAGAAAGACATTTTTTTAAAAATGTTTCCTTCTGAGAAATGATTGCTTAAAAAAAAGACATCCAGAGGAATTATACATTTATTCCTAAATAAAAAGTAAGAGTACTCTCTCTCTCCCTCCCTCCCTTCCTCCATCCATTCATCCATCTTACTATATTACTATATATGAGACTCATTTTGTGAGGTTAAGTTCTAAGGAACAGATGGAATTGCTGCTGTTGTACATACCTCCCTATTCACTTTTATGGCAAGGTTATAGGTAGTTTCCCAGGCTTATGGTACTGGAGTATTTTAACCTTTGATTCCCAGATAGTCTGAAGAGGCTCAGGATTTCATGGCCTTGTGGATCTTATCCTAGCCATCAAAAACCCAATACTTTGGGAGTCACACATTAGGTGTGTTTTATCTTGGAGCAATATGATATGGACTGAATTTGGGGAATGTTAATGGCTGTCCTTTGTCATGGTCAGATCATTAACTGATTGGGACCATCCAAAGTGCCTCAAAGACTCATAGGAAACTTGGGGAGTTCCCTGAAACTCTCTTACCCTATTTGACCAAGGTTTTAGTTGTCACTTAGAACAGGGGTCCCCAACCATGGACTGGCATCGGGCCGCAGCATGCCAGAAACCAGGCCGCGCAAACAAGCAAAGCCCCATCTATGGGATGCAGGCAGCACTCAAAACCACACACCCCTCCGGTCCACAGAAAAACCTCTGACTTGGAATGAGAGGATGACATTGGCCTTCCATCAGACTGAGCTTGTGTGGCCCCTTCCTGTTGATTGATTTTAGGGGATTGCCTGATTTTTAGAATTCTTGGAAATAAAGCACCAGAAAAGATGCCTGGAGTATTGCTGGAAACAAGAGTAGAAAAATACTTAAGTCTATGTTAAGGATCAAATTGCAGCATTAAGAGCAGCAGAGTAAATCTGCAGAGTGCTGGCCTGCAGCCCTGTTCAAAGTGACCTGTTCCTGTTACAGAATGATCAGAGGAACATCTGCAGGCTGCTGTGACAATTATTTTCAGCAACTGATAGATAGGGGTCATTTGAATTCAGTTTGAGCTGAACTTCAGTTTCATGTCCTTTTGAGGTGAGTTGAAGCACTGTCTGGGGCTATCTGGAAAAAGTCTGAGCCTTTAAGTCTGGAGGATAAGTCTGATACTGATGTAGCTAGATACATATGCCTCTTCGGAAACACTGGTGTACTCAACAGCATTGGATAATTTCCAAACAATCTCCAATCTTTTTAGAGAAGATTATAGAGAAGATGGTCAACGGGCAGTTAAAGAAGGCTCTGAAGGAAAGAGATTAACAGGATCCCTTTTAATTGGGTTTCAGTCCTGGGCATAGTACTGAGGTGGCATCGATTGTACTTGTGGGTGACTTCTGTCAGTATGGTCTGGGATGGCTTCTTGATCTCTCTGTGATTTCGATATCGATATTCTTCTGGATTGATCCTGGCCTTCTGGATTGGCTCAGGTTAGGAATGGGAAGAGTTAGTCCTGATCCCGCTGGTAGCAATATGGCCCCAAAGATCTGGATGCTGGCCCAGTTGTAAATTATATGAGTTGTGTGTCTGGCTCACAATATAGTAGGTTTTAATTCATTGTGCTTTATCAGTTGATCAGTTTTCTTTGCATTTGATGTTTTTAATCCTTGTTAGCTACCTAGAGTTGCCTGGCAAGTGGGTGGCTGTATAAACTGGATAAATTGAGCAAACAAACAATTTAAAAAACACATATACCCCATCTTTCCTCTAGGATGCACTCAGAACGGACTAGTTCTTTGATTGGAGTGCGACTGATTGACTGACCAAAAGCAAGTAGATCTGACTCAGTATAAGGCAGCCTCCCACACTGCCCTCATAATACATTGGGTCATTTTCCTGATAAATCATGAGAAACTCAAATATATGAAAAACATGTCCCAAAATATAGAGTTCACCTACAGAAAACCGGAGAGGAATGGAGTAGAAGAGTTGCATACACTACTACAGACCTACTGTACAATTCAGCTTTTGTTTCCCACCACCCATGATGAATTCTGGTGGACACGAATGGTTCGGGGGCTGTATTAAATTTACTTTTTGCGCTCCTGGGGGGGAAAAAAAAAAACTGCCACCAAAAACAGTAGCGCAGAACGCATTATCTGGGAGAACAGAATAAATAAGGCCGAATCGCATCGTTTAAACTAAAGGGCTCCCCTTCAATACACCGATTCGTTTATAAAGCAACGAAACGGCGTCCTTCCCTCGTAAAACGAAATCGGGATTCGGAAATGGGATCTTTGTCGTGTCAGGCACAGGCCTGGGAGGCCGAACCCGATGAGCCGGGCATACGGCCGCTTTGTAGTCCGTCACCCCACCACCACCACCACCATCCCTCCTACTCCCGCAATAACCCCAGGAAGCGTTTCTTGGCGAGGGCCGAAGGAGGAAAACAGCAACTCTATACGGGCGTGCAGATCCACAGTCTGTGGATCGTGTTTCTGATCTGCGCCGCTGGCTGGCCCGGGAAGGGCCCCGGGCGTCCGGCTACGGCTTGGTAGCTCCTTTCTTCGCCCGCTGCAGAAGAGACGGGGAGGGGACAGAGCCGGAGTTGTGGGAGGGGGAAAAAGGGAAATATATATATATATATATAAATAACATGTTGGGTCATGTGGTTGCATCACGTGAAAGGGGTGTCAGGCCCAGCAGCAGCAGCAGCAGCAACAGCGGCAGCGGCTGCACGACCTGAGACTGAGACACAGACAGACGCTGGACGCTGGGCTTGTCGGGAGGAGCGACAGGCACGCAGGGAGGGCGGAAGCCTCACCGGACGAGTTTCAGCAGCTACTAGCTGGCTCTGCCTGTCTGGTCTGCCGGAGAGAGGGGTAAGGCATTCATTTCCCCCACCCCCCCTCCTCCCCAACCTTGATTGCAGCTGCCCACTCCTCTTCGGCGTTGCTGTGTAAGGAACTGGGTTCTGTCGCGCTCCTTCCTTTCTTCCTCTCTCCCTCTTTCCCCTCCCTCCTTCCCTCCTTCCATCCATCTCATCGTCCCTTTTCGGAAGATGCAGGATCCGCGCGTCTGGGCGGGAGGCTCTCGGGAGGGGAGCCGACGACTCCCGTCTCCTCCCCTTCCCCTCGCCTTTATGTCAGATGCTCCCGGCTGTTTGCGAAGGATGTAGCGGCTGGTGGGGTTTTTTTTGTTTTTTTTTGGCTTTCTTGCTTTTTAGCGGGCTTTACCCCCACGGACCCTGGTGGTGGGTGCTGTGAGGATTAGGGAAGCGATGTGGGGCAAAAGAGTCGGGGTGGTGGTGGTGGTAGCGTGGAGTCCGCAAACGCAGGCTGGCCGGAGGAGTGGGTGGAAGTGCCTGAGGTCCGGGAGTGGGGGTGGCAGGAAGGATGGGCGGGAGGTGGGGGGGCGCACAGGTGGCGCGCAGGGAGTGTGGTAGTTTAGGATTTGTGTTCTTTTATTCTGATGGGCTGCCTGGTCTCGTTCTCTTTTCTTCCCCTCCCCGCCCTGTGTGTGTGTGTGTGTATTGTGTATGTGTATATGTGTGTTGTCTACCCACCGCGGTCTATTCCGTCAGGAGGATATGTTGAAGAAAAAGCAGCATCTGGAGTGGAGCCTCCTCTTTTGAACGGGGAAGGGGAAAGGAAATGAAGGGTGGGTGGGTGGGAAGAACAGGTTTGCAGCAGAATCCTCTCTTCTTGAAACACCTTGTCTCCACCTCAGGAAGATTTGAGTCTTAAAACCTACTTTGGGATTTCAGCTTCAGTACTATGGACATTGCTAAATATTGCTAAGTGCTATCTGGCAGCTGCCGCTGAATGTATGGAAGTTAAGAGCTTTAGGTGATGTGGGGGGGGAAGAAAGAAAATAAACACACCTTCATCTTTTGTATCTCCTGTATCAGATTTACCCCAAAGCAAGTCTTTAGTTTTAGGTGTTTTGTTTATACAGGTGGTCCTCAACTAACGACCGCAATTGAGCCCCAATTTTATACTGCTAAGTGAAACATTTGTTAAGTGAGTTTTGCCCCCATTTTACAACTTTCCTTGCCACAGTTGCTAAGTGAATTCACTGCCGTTGTTAAGTTGGTAACCCAATGGTTAAATGAATCTGGCTTCCCGGTTGACTTTGCTTGTCAGAGGGTCGCAAAAGTTGATCATATGACCCTGGTTTCATCACAAATATGAACCAGTTGCCAAACATCTGAACAGTGATCACATGATGCTGCAATGGTTGTAAGTGTGAAAAGTGGTCATAAGTCACACACACACACACACACACATACATACATACACACACAGACAGATAGATAGATAGATAGATAGATAGATTTAGGCCCTTTTGTGTTGTCATTGCTTACAGAGCATACTAAACTTTTGTTTTCAAACATGAGTTTGAAAGCTTGGACCCAGATATTCCAGAGAAGAGGAGGAAATAAATGCCCAAGAAGAAGCTTTCCTCAGAGGCCACAAAAATGTAGCCCTCAGTTTGTGGCTCTAACCTTTCATTTCAAATGGGAAGAAGATGTGATCTTGTGCAGGCTATTTCCTCTCCCTTCTCTCTGACTTTTGTTGCCTGGTGTATTTGCATTGGGTCTGTTTTGTAGCCAATAGGAAAGAAAAGGTCACTCAGGGAGAATAGTTGTACTTTTTAGAGGAAAGCCACTGTATTAAGTACACTGTATCAGAAACAAGATTCAAGCCATGAGTTTATGGGGTGAAAAATCTAGATCAAAGTTTGATATTATCTCTTTAGCACCAATCTCAATATCACAAGAGATGGGCAACTTTCAAGTTCTATGGAATTTAAGCAGTATGATTTTGTTGGGTTAGGAAACTTATTTTATCATACTGAATCTTATTTGTTCCAGAAATATCCTTTCTTGACCCGTATAAGTTTTCTTGAGTGCTTGTATAATTCAGATTCAATGCTGGCCAGATCCATTAGGATACCCTTTCAAAGACTGACTCATTAAGGTTTTAGATTACAAGAGCTTTATATATTCTTACCCCCATCACATTTAAATGTACATAAATGTCTGTCCCATTGTAGAATAATGTAAAATAAATAAAATACTTGCAACACTGAAGAAGATTACAGCATTTTTCTTTTATTTGTGAAAAACTTTGCTTTCCATCTCGGATTAATTTGAATAAAAAGCTCCTTCGCTGAGGACTTGAATGCTAGTCCAGAAGCTTAATTGGTGATCTATGGTTTCTTGGCATTCTGGTATCTTGATGTTGAATTTTTAAAGAAGTCCATATGGTTAAAATATTGTTAGCGTGGCTGTTGTGAAAACTAACTTTTGATGATAGTGGTTTATCTGACTTTCTATATACCTGATCTTCCTTAAAAATATATGTTCTTAGTCATTTTTTTTAAAAAAGTGACCTTATTTCTTTGATACAGGACTGAAAGCAGAAATGGCTCTAATGATGATGTAATCTTTCCAAATGCTAAGCCATATTTAGTCAAGGTGAACTTTCTTGAAATTTAATGCATTTTTTTCATGATTAGAGGGCAATGTTTCTTTTAATGATCTGGGTGATCTGAAGAACAAGGCCACATGCTGGGAAGCTAAGAAAAAGGCAATACGTTTGTGAGATAAATTCTTAATCCCAAACATTACAATTGAAATTTGGCCAAGAGCACCTTTTTATTTTTAATAGTTCTTAAATCTGCCTCATGTTCAGGTATGGCCAGTCAGCATTTTTTTTCTCATGATGCCCATAAGTAGGAGAAGAGACATTAGTCTCTTCAGCCTCTGGTTCTCTGAAGCTTCCCTCAACTGGGAGGTAACATGAATCTCAAAATTTTTAGATCTTGTTAGACCTGTCCTTCATGAATCTAGATATTCCCTTCTTAAATGCAGGCGAGTTAATGGCCATCGCCATATCTTATAGTAATGAATTCCTAAGGTAAATTATAGTCTGTGATGTATATACTTTCCTTATATTAATGGTGTTTATATTTTAACCCTTTCTTAAATATTTTAACACTTTCCCTTTTCCACAATGTGAAATGTACTTAGTCAACATCTCCATCGTGCTACCCACTGTGATCCAAAAATCTTTCTCCAATTAGTTATAAGCTGCTCAGAACCCATCATTGTATATGTAAATTTAGAGGGCTAAGGGATAAGGTTCAGAAGCACTATTAGATCAAAAGGCATCTCTATAATTTGTACAATTATTAGATGCCTCATTTTTTTTAGATTTATAAGCCATTTCATAATTATGATGCATAATTACTCAATGCAATAAATTGGCATGTACAAAAGTGCATATTTGTCCTGTGAGCATGACATTACTATCTCAATAGTGTCCCTGCGATTTTTCTTAGCATTTTCTATCTAGCATTTTCTAATATTTTAATCAAAAAAAAAAAAAAAAGATGAATAGTTTGGTTTAACCCTAAGATGAGAGATGATAACAGCATAATGACTGAGAACGAGCCGAGGATGAGGTCACGCTCAGTTAATATCTCACTTCAACCGTGGAGTCACTCAGTAGCTTTAAATAAGTCACTTTTTCACACTCTGAAGACAATTAGTATTGGGATCTAATATAGAATAATTGTTAGGATTTCTGAGTTATATTGGAGATTCAAGCACATAAAGAATATGTCGTATAAATATGTTGTGTAAAGATTATCATACTGGTAGTAATATACTGTAACATGGAATCCAAAGAAAGACAATGGAAAAATTATTTCTTACACCTGCTTTTTCCACCTACCACCTTAATTCTTCTGAGATCTCTGTCCCATGGACTGGGAGGTACAATCCTATGAGGTTCTTCTCACAGTGGGAAGGTGAAACTGTAGGAAGCCCTTATTTATCTGAAGCTAACTTTGTGGCATGATGATGATGAAGATGATGATGATGATCACTTTTTGTTATTGGTGTAGGTTAGGTTTTTTTCCCTCAATCTGCATTCTTCAGATATGTTGGACTACAGCTCCCATAATCTCTAGCTGAAATAAAACATTGAACTTACTGGATAGTTACAGTGGAATTTTGATCCAAACCATTTGGTAGATACAGTACTAGATTAGGGAAAGTTGATGTTAATATTGAACTGTCCTATTTGCATTTTCCCATACTGTCAAGATGTATATTTGTTTGTTACTTGTTCAATTGAAGTTTTAATGCCCTACCATTTCCATAAAAATGAATTGCTCAGGAGAGAGAATAGGATTGAAAACTGTACCAGAAATGCAGGAATAAAAATAAAAAAGTTAAGACGGTAGTAGTGGATTTTAGATAGAAGATAGATAGACAGACAGACAGATGTAGATAGATGTATAGGTAAAGATATGTATAATCAATTCCATTCATTAATTTTCTAGGTTCTCTTCCATTAATTGTAATGCATGAATAAAGTTGCTGAATTAATTTGAGCTTGATCAATATTGTTTTCATAATCATGATTAAATAAACAGGTTTGAGATTAATGCCATTTAAAAAGTAGACTCATACATTATGGTCAGCTTTAGTTTATTCAGCCATGGTTTATTGAATCAACCACAGTTGGCTAAGTTTTGCATAGTATGCTAATCCACACACTTTAATTTACAAGTTTCATTTCATGTAATACACAAAAGAAAAGCGTAACAAATCTTATAGGGATATCCTGTTTAAGATTCAAAGATGGGACTTCTCCCAGGGATGGGTATTCCCCAGAGGATCACGAAGAAGGCAAATGCTAAAACACAAACTCTTCCCTTTATATTCAGCTTTGTATGCAAATATGAAAGAGCCAATCTTATGTTGCTAATCACTACATACTTTCACCATTAAGTATCTTCTGGGCTAGTTATGGACACGTGACCTTTCCTGAGGTTTCTTTCTTGTAAAAGGAAATCCAAGGTGACA